AATAATAAGAATAAGCAACAAGGAACTGACTCTGTCTGGTCTGGCAACGAGCCAACCAAGAAGTTATCGCTGGACAAATATGCAGTGGAAGGAAGTGGAGATGGATTGGAGTGTGCATGCACTGAGGAGACTGATTGGGGACATCAGGCGCCAGGCCATGCCATGCCAGGCCGTCGAGTGGAACCCAGATGGGAAACGACGAATTGGGCGTCCGATTTGAGGGTGACATGGAGGAGATGGTGTGAGGAGGAAATGAGAGTTTGTGGGCTATCTTGGAGCCAGGTTGAAAAGATGGCAGAGAAGAGAGTGGAATGGAGACGTGCTACTGAAGCCGTATGTTCCACTAGGAACCCAAGGGATAAGTAAATAAATATAAATAATGTCGTCTCCATAAAGTTTACTGACTAACATTTTACAGGTTTAAATATTTGACTAATGCCGTCATTACAACAATGAAATTTCGGCGTCCCGTTCTCAGCAGATTAAGTGAGACTGTGATTTCGTTGAACTTCTCTGCTTGTTTTACCGAACTACACCAAATAGCACTGAAGAGAAAGCAAACGAAGCTTAGCTAAGTTGCAAAACTCCTCTATTTCTTTCTTTGCAGCATAGGTTAAATACATTAAATACCCACTAAACTCTCCAAAATCTATAGATATGCACATAACGGTGTTAAATTCCATACTTAATACTGCAAAAATTTACGAACTACATTTCTTCTAAAGACTACCCTAAGAGGAAAATGATTTTGCAGTAGCTTTTCTAGATGGTATTCTCAGGTCAGTTGAATGTCAGCCGTCACAAGTTGAATCAATGCCCTATGATTGAAGTTGTGTTTATTCTTAAGGCAAAACGAACTATCGCAGCACTCAAGTACTGGTCAACAAGTATATTTTCTTTATGGTAAAATTGTGATGTAACCAATGCATGTGTTACAGAAAGATTTAAAGGCTCATATAAATATAACCTTGTAGTTTTCATGAAATCTTTGTAAGAAGAGTTAACAGTACTAGGCAGTTCAGTAATTTACGAAGCACTGGTAGATCTGAAGATCTTTATTTTGAACTCATTTCAGGCAGCACTACAAGGTTGTATTGTTACAATCTGAAAATAAGCAGTGCACGCCTAAAAAACTTATACTGGATCGAATTTCAAACCATAGCTGGGTCAAATTGCCTTACCCTTATTGGCAGATGCGCTCACATGCGGGTGTTTCGATACTGCCCAGATATTCAGTATATTGTGGTTTGATTGATGGCTATCAGTGAAATCGAGGCATCCGCATGGGAACCCATCTGTCTACAGAGATCGAGCGAATTGGCCTAGTATTGCAGCGGGAAATTACAAGTTTCAGTGAGCGAGAATCGATACCCATTGCATAAGTGACGGCTCTCATGCCTCAGTGCTGTAGTAGATAACGCTTTGTTATTTCAAGCGATGAATGCTGCGTCCAAGTCTCAGTTGGAACAATATAACTCACTGGGGAACAGGTACATCTAGCTGATGAGTCATAAGAAGGACGAAATGCGCGTAGACTTCCTCATTTAGTCATAATTCAGTGACTGGTTTCAAAATAGACGTCTAGAAATTATGGTGTTAACCTGCCAATGACTATTAGTAATGGTTGTATAATATCGTAAATCTGCCGGAATTTTGAAAAGGAATGTCATAAGATTATAATCTAAGAGGTGAATATTAAAGTATTGCCTCATCAAGCAAATTAAATTTACCTCCATATGTGCTTCCGCTTGTATTTGTAAAAATATTTCGGTGTGCCGAAACGGTGGTGTTTTTGGACATTGTATCAAGTTGCAACCAAACATTTCTTTTATGTAGCCTGACTGTGACTTAATTCTGATATTAGGCATAGTTCTGATCGAAAGTTGCAAGTACTCCATTGAATCTGTATTATGACTGTTACTTGCTGATAGATTTACCATTCCAGACGAATAAATCAGAAGATAGAGCGCAATAAATGACAGTTTTCTGTCCAAAAAAACAAATGAATAGAAGTTTTATGCTCAACAATAGACTGTTTTTTTACCTCCTTAATATATGTGTTGGCAACGGAAATCCTTATAGATAAATTGCTATCAGGATAACGGCGTGATACATTAGCCAGCTATTCACAACTGGATTGATTGAGAACTCAAGTAGGTTAAGTGTGATGCATAGTACTTCTAACGGGTTTCTTTCTGTTGCTTGTCGTCCTTAGTACAATCCCAGGTGTTAAGTACCATTAATAAGTTCGCTTAGCTGTATAAATGCGTACTAACTATATTGTACGTGAGTTAATTGTATGCGTTCATTGATCTCAGGTGTAGTCGATTTGTTGTTATGATCAAATAATTAAGAACTGAATACTTAGTACTGTTATTTTACACGTGATCCTGTGTTATTAGTTGTTTCTCCCAATATTTTAATGGTGTCATCACCTTTTGTCAGTGGTCATACATTGGTACTTGCTTGACTCGTCTATACAACTAGTTGAACTTTGAACTTATTTCTTTAGGAAAAATCTTTCATCATCAAAATGTTCTCTCATCTAGGTGCTGAGTATTTATGCAACCATTATAAAAGGTTTTTTTCGGATTGAAATAATCCAATGCAAGCCGATCTTAGACCTGTCATGTATCGTTTAGCTCTTCTTGTGTCGCTAATATTTGTGTTATAGTTATGGACAGTTATGACGAAGATAGTAAGAAGCAAAATACCTTCACACCTTGAACAACATGCATCTAAATTTCATCGCAGAAGAAACGAACAAGCTTAAATATTATTAAATTTTTTGAGGGGGTTGTGGAGATTTGGAAATATTTCAAGTTGTTATTCATCGAAGACTGACATCAGTTGGAGGAACAACAACTTGAAATATTTCCAAATCTCCACAACCCCCTCAAAAAATTTAATTGAACTAGTGCTCGTTGGTGACTGGCTTCGAGAAGTATTCCCGAAGTTCCAATGACAAGTCGTGACCGGTGGAGTCAAAGCCTGATGGCCGTGAGGTCAAATACTCAACGATGACATTGGGTGGCGGTTTGCGCTATATCGTGAGCTAACAGAAGTTGGAAATATGGAGCATTGGATTCTGACCCAGTGGCTCAATGGTAACGCGCTGGTCGCGGAACCTGAAGGTCGCGGGTTCGATCCCTGCTGGTGGGGTCGTGGGTGCGCACTGCTGAGGAGTCCCATAGTAGGACGAAACAGCTGTCCAGTGCTCCCAGGTTTCCTTTGTTCCTCCAACTGATGTCAGTCTTCGATGAATAACAACTTTAAATATTATTATCGGAGGCGTGTCAACTTTCAAGCGTAAGATTTTCGCGAAGCTACTAAAGTTTGTACTTTCTTGTCGGCATGCCTACGCGTCTTATTCTGTTCAGTTACAGATCTATTTTTGCTGTTAGATCATGCCATACAACGCTGTTAGTATTTGTTCGCCAATAATTTTTTTTCAGCTTCAATCAATGTATTCAGTTATCGTATAACGAAAAAATCGTAATAACTCACAAAAGGTTGTCCAGGCTATCAAACCTCATAACACCTTTCGCTTTCTCTAATCAGTATGCGTGAGCTGTTATGATATATATGACAGTAATAAATGCACTTTTTAATCTGTCATCGAAATCTCACAAATCTATGAAGGAGAAACAGAAAAGCCTACTTTGAAGAATTCTTTCTGATGAAAAATTGACATTGAGCTAACAATGAAATATTACTTGAGCAATCAGGATTAACTTGGCTGACATGAAATTCAACTCACTAACAAACATCTCAATTTCCTAATTTTCGCATTCAGTTGAAAGTAGGAATGTCTATTAACCTTCTGATTAACTTTTGGTCACCAAGGTATCTTTCTCAAAAAATGACCGCACTTCCAAGATTCCATTCAAGATTTCTTTTGTAATGCGATCTCATCTGATAATTTTTTAAATGCGGATAGGGATATTTACTTCAAAACTTTCTAGTTATAGCTTGAGAAACCAAATGAATGAGAAATCTTTGGTGTGCATGTGTAATCAGATTTCCCGGTATATCGTTGACATCTTGAAGAGATATCTGACGGGCGTATTCATATTCTTATCCTACCTTTGATTCGGACTAATATGGGGTCAAATCTCATTGTTGTTATGTTCCTGTGTTAGCCCTATCGCCAATCTACTATAACTTTGGCTGCAATCGACTTAGCTTATTCAGTATTAACGCTAACCTTGAACATGATTCGTTCTGAATAAACCTGCCCATTCTCGTTTACTCAATCCACCCACGATGAGTTACACGATTTTGCCCTGCAAAACATGTACAACCGAACGAGTTTCGTCAACATTGTCTGTATATTCCATGTTAGATTTGCTTATTTGATTTATAACACATAGTGATCTAGTATTATTTACCTGATGACGTTTCGAGCATAAATTATTGATTAATTATGAGCAATAATTTATGCTCTAAACGTCATCAAGTAAATAGTTCTGGATCACTATGCGTTATAAATCAAGTAAACAAATCTAATATGGAATTGAATTCTACCACAGTGCCCAAGTTTTACACCTATATTAATTGTCTGTATATGTTGCGTGATGTCATTTATATATTATATACTTAAATTACTTTACCGCAGTGCACCATAATTTATAAAAATAAAACAACTGATTTGAAGCACAAAAATGGGATAATGCATAACAGTGAGTTCCACTGAACATGCTGTCATTTTTGAAATGTAGGTCATGTATGAAGGATTGAGAGGTCAATCGAAAGCTCTTGAACTGATTCGTACAGTAATGTTATCAATTAAATCATGTGTGACCTTTAAAATGAGTAAAATAATGCGGCCGACACTTATCTGAGATTCACATTTTCATTTGATACAACACTAACTTCTATTGTGGTGATGGTTTGATTTCACTCCTTCCACAAGTTATCGTTTATGTTTTGAAATTATAACAGATTAATTGTGTTTATAGTTGCATAATGCTGTGAATTCGTTTTTTTTTCTATTTTAGCGTACCATCATGTAAATTTCGTATACTGGATACATTTGGGACGGAGGCAGCATATAATCGTGAAGAGGGGACCTGGGGTGGATTGCATTTAAATTTACAGCAATTCTACACATTTTTTCGTAAGTCATTAGAATGTCTTATTTGATTTTACTTTTACTCATTATAATGAGTGTTACATGTGTTTCAACAGATTTAAGTTGTGAGACTAGATGGTTAGTTGTGCACACCTTGGACTGAATCGTGCTGGTACATCTATTTATCTGTTTTCTGAGAGTAAACGAAAAGTAGATCGAATTATTGAAAAGTTTTTAAAACTGCTGTCAAATTATTTCTCAATATCAATGAACTACGAGTTTTGCCTTCCTAGTATCATTTCTCAACAAGAATATCACATTACACTCATTGTCTTATTGGTTTTTGTTAGTCATAATTTATTAATATTCCTTTTCCTGTTTAAGTCTGTCCAAAAACTATGGATTTCTGCATTAGGGTTTGTATCGGTTTTCATCTTTACTGTTCCAATGAAACCTGATGATGAAAGTTTGTCGTTCTTCATTTCCCTGTTGATTGAACTTGGTTACTACTGGTTACTGACTCAGTAACTCTATTGGTAGCTTGATATCAGGATGTAGTGCTCTAGTTTCACTCTTTCAAAACATCGCTCTTTGATTAGCGGAGCAGTTGAAACCGATTCGCGAAAAATCGTCAACACATGGTTGAACGTTAGGTATTGAACGTATCTCTTTTGAACCGCTGAACTGCCAAGCTCTCCTTTGTGTTCGTGTGGCGAATACGCACCCTCTTCGATGTGTTTGATTTCACTTTATAAATGACTTTGAAGGAAGATTCTTGTGGAACAGATTGACCAGAGTTGATCAAATGCTCAAGAATCAGGCTGTGAAAGTCTTTGCTCTCTCCTTTAGACAGCTACGCAGGATAATGTTCGGAAATGTGTTTGGATAGAACACGCTTATTGTGGCTTATCTAACCATCTAAACAAGATCAGTTGGATTAGTAAACACATATAAAAGTAGCTTGATGCAGTATTTTATCTTTTACAGTCCGAAGTTGGGGGCAAATGAAGGTCTATCTCAGTGCTTTACACAATCGATTCTTGAGTGTCTCTCCCAATGCATATCCTCTGAATCTAATATTCATAGATAGTGTCTTTTTTAGGACCGTAGAGATTTCTTGTAAGAAGGCTTAGGGTTCATGTTCCTCTCAATGGGTCTTGAAGCATAAACATTGCTAATGAGATTACTTTTCGAAGTACTACTTGATATCGGGTGCACCTGATATGATATATGAAACGTTTCCCAGTAAGTAATGCTAGTTCACTGTATTACATTTCTAATAAATAGAGTAAAATGGGATACTGACCTTACTGGTTTCTAAGTACGATAGATAATTCGCACTTATTTGGTGAGTCCCTTAAATGCAGTACGATTTTTCGATTCTACTACATATATTATTGCTTGCGGGATTGCATTATAGATTCGTGTACACCAGTGATATTCTATAGAAGTCATACTCTCACTGATGCTGACAGAAAATGTTTTACCCTTCATATCGTGTTCAGGTGGCTCTATGATTATTGGTCGAATTCCTATAATCTAAGGAATCTTATGTTAGCCAATGTAATATATACAAGATTAATTGGTAAAATTATAATTGCTTATTAGTTTATGAAGCATATCTATCCATTTCAAGGTTAGAAATCTCTCTGAATAACAAAAACGTGACAAGATATCACACCATATATATAGTGTTCAATAGTTCACAATCAATGAGTAGTAATTGTTTTACATCTGAAGGTTAGTAGATCTGTTGACGAATGAATTATACTGATGTTCAGATAAACACTTGGAAACACATGGTTGCCTATAAATTTCTGCTAACAGAAAACTGTTTTAAAACACGTTTTGTACAGTAAAATACGAAGGTGAGAGGTTGCTTAGGAACCCGAATAGTTGTTCATCAGTACCTTCACAGTAATGCAGGAGTTATTCAAACGGCGTAAAGTAATATAAATATGTCAGATGCATAGGTTAAAAAACTTGCACCATTCAAGGTCTCTAGGAAACAAATCAAACATAGTAACACTTCATTTGCCGTGAGACGTTATTTCAATTATAATAGGAATAATGTACTAATACAATTTGGGCAATGTGGTAGGTTGTAATTCCACATTCAATAAGTTTGTAACAACCAAAAGGTGCCTAAGTTGAGGCATAGTAGAAGACCCCAAGCGAAATGGGACGATAAAAACCTCAGTGATTCAAATATATTTACTCGCCAACTTCATCTCAGTCTTAAAATATTGTTGTCACGCCATCACTTCTTATTACACCTTCACCTTTTATATTTTAATACTTATGGTTTCTTTTTCTATTTATTTTAAGTACCTCTTGTCAACTTCACTCTTATGTCAAAATAAAAAGTGTGACTACTAGGATAATATACAATTACGATAGATCCCAAGTTATTTATGCCTGTTTGGCTATCAATCTCTGAAGTATTCAAAAACACTGAATGCGACACGTATCTAGAGCCTTTTGATTTTTAATTGCTTTTCATTTACTTGTGAAAGTGTGGATGCTTTAACAGAGTCGTTAACATGTATTGTACAAAGACTGGAAGCTTAACAACTAAATCTCTAGCTCAGAGACAGAAACATGATCAAGATTGTTCTCCTGAGTTTCAAATCTACTTCACCACTTGTTAACAAAATCACCATGCAGATTACCCTGAAGGGTTACTTTTAATTCCAGTTAAATTACCAGTCAACATTAGATCATATCTACACTGAATGTAGTGCCGATAAAATTTCTTCTGTTCTCCTTAGCTCACACACCGGACAATTCTTTTTGGGCTTTGTTACTGAAGCATTTTCTCCTAAATCCAAACCGGGACCACAAGTATCTAAGCCTATTGCTCTTGTGTATGGAAAAGAAAATTACATGTGGATCGTAAGTTCTTAAATATATGATAGTGGTATTGTGTTAACTAATTTTTTCTCTCATTCTAAACTAATCTTCAGAATGTACCAACTCATAGTTGCAGGCTACACGCTCAACATTCCTCTGTTTGAAAGTATTATCTTAAAAGCTATCTTTTACAGGCACTCGATTATCAGTAATGCTTGTTATGCTGTTACTACTATTTTATTGATTTGAGACGATGAGTGTAATAAAAACATGTATATCCTTCATTCAGCATCACGACGTCAACATCGACAGTATTACTTTTCACAGTACATATTTTTGAAGTTTATAATGCTTCGTAAGCTCAGGAGCTAAGACTTCATGTATTAGCAAGTAGTTAGATTATATGTTTTACCTAAAAATACAAAAGTTTCCGTTAAGCATCGTGAGTCTTATCTTGAGTTAGATTAAAGAGCTCATTTCCAAGGAGGTGTATTCAAAAAGTAGTTTCATGGTTGAATATTCATCCTCGTTTATAGTTCTTGGAGTTGGGTAGTTTGGTAGTTAGCTTTTCAACTGCAAATGTGAAATCATGTTTCCAGTAATCTTGACTCTTAAATGAATCAGATGCTTTTCCCTAAGTTGCCTTACTTCATTTTTTAATAATCGTGAATCGGGTTGATTATCCTTGATGATAATTATTGTTATTATATTATATTATTTGTCCCTTGGGTTCCTAGTGGAACATACGGCTTCAGTAGCACGTCTCCATTCCACTCTCTTCTCTGCCATCTTTTCAACCTGGCTCCAAGATAGCCCACAAACTCATTTCCTCCTCACACCATCTCCTCCATGTCACCCTCAAATCGGACGCCCAATTCGTCGTTTCCCATCTGGGTTCCACTCGACGGCCTGGCATGGCATGGCATGGCGCCTGATGTCCCCAATCAGTCTCCTCAGTGCATGTCCACTCCAATCCATCTCCACTTCCTTCCACTGCATATTTGTCCAGCGATAACTTCTTGGTTGGCTCGTTGCCAGACCAGACAGAGTCAGTTCCTTGTTGCTTATTCTTATTATTCTGGCCATCTGAGCTTCAGCAACGAGTCAGCGTAGGCAGTTGTTGATGAATGTCTGTAGTTTGTTGGAAATCCCTTTCGTAACGCGCCAAGTCTCTCAACCATATACAAGCACTAACTTGACTGAATTGGTGTTGAAAATCCGGGTCTTGTTCACGCTTTATGCTGAGTGCAAAAGATCTCCACACTGGTTTCAGGTTAATCAACGCCTGTCTTGCTTTTCCGATCCTGTCTGGCTTTGACGTCCATGTCTGTGCCGCCGCATGAAGTTGAAACAGTGCTGTCTAGGTAGGTGAAAGAGGCTACTTCCTTTAAGTTTCTCCCGTTGATGGTGATTGGAGCTTGTTGTTGTTGTTGGTGGTGGTGGCGGTGGTGGTAGTGGTGGTGTTGGTTGGGTATGTTCATCATCTCTGTCTTCTCTATGTTCACTTGAAGTCCCGTATTCGCTGCCCTGCCACTTCTGCCAACTTGTTGAGTTTCACCTATAGATCTGCGAGTTTGTGTGACATTAGACACAAGTCATCGACGAAATCCAAATCTTCTAGGATATTTTCCTCAATCCAGTGTATCCCCCTCTTCTCACACCTCACTGTTTGTTACATGATCCAGTCCACCACAATCAGGATTATCATGGGTGATAGAAGACAGTCTTGTTTTACTCCTTTCTTCACTTCAAATGCATCAATGAGCTTCCCATTGTGAATTACTTGGCATGTGGTGTCATCATATAGTTGTTGAATGAAGTTGATGAAGGTTTGCAGTATTCCGTAGTGTTGAAGCAACTGGCTGCCAAGTTACTTGTCGGTCGACGCTGTCGAAAGCATTTTCAAAATCAATGAAGTTGAGGTAGAGAGTAAACTGTTATTCTGTAATGGTGATAAATTACTGGTCGTGTCGGTTGGTAAGGATTTGCCTTGGGAATTTTAGTCCTCTGTCTGCAACCTTAGACTTCGGTTGATGAGTAATGATGTGACTTGGTTGCTATACTTGTAGAAACTCTGTTGCGAATGCAGATGAGAAAACTTTGAAGTCTATCCCATATGAAGCTGCCGTCTCGCCTGGAAGAAACATTTTGACTGCTATGCCAGATAACTCATAATCCAAACTTACTTTCCTCGTTTTACTCAATTGTGTAACTGATTTTGACGTGTCCTGCACCTCGTTGTTAAGACGTTGTATCAACTCTAACGCACTAGTTCTCGTGTTGATATAGTAAGTTAGTGATATTGTTGTTTGCAATTTCATTTGAAGTATATCAATTGAACCCAAGATTTACAGCAGATTTTTCAAGAAAAATGGATTTGTTGTCAATTTGATATTCTAAATATGCATTAAGACTTATCTGCACTCATAATGTATCATGTGAAACATATACTTTCGTACATCATTTTGATCCCTTTGAGATGTAATAGCTGTACATCTATCTGTCCATAGATATGGTTATTTCATTTATTTGTGTTGTGATAAGAATGTTCAAGAGGACAAACATCGTACCAAAATGTTTTCACATCTCATTTCACATTTAATGCAGTTGATTTGTACACTGTTGACGTACCTGGTGATTCGCTCAGTTAATAATCGTAATTGTTAGAATCTGCGAACCGATTAAATCGTCACTTGTATTTTCATCCATATTTTAGGTAAACTTACAAAGTAAATCAATGTGGCATCGAGAACACTACCATCCTCTTGGTGTTAAGGTTTACCTATGAAGCTGATTTTTCAATAATTCATTGACTTGCTCTTATTGCCAATATTGAAATTCTGTATAACGCATACTTCTTGCTAGCCTACTAAGAAATATCCCAAGAGTCACAATATTTCATGATAATTTGAGGAAGCCGAAGTCGTACATTGATAGGGTGGGTTCGTAAATTTATGGTTGAAAATAATCTCCAGTGTGTGCAAGTGGCTGTTATTATAGGATCACAGAAGTTAGTTTCACTCACATTCATCCGTGCATGTACATATTACTAACTTTGCATTTGATTCAGATTTCATCTTGCATCTAATTCACATGACTTATAACAATCACTGATTCCGCCTGCCAACAGTTACATCAGACAAGCACTCATTATCCCAGTAATCAACCACAATGTGATTCATGCATATGTGCATTTGGATTGCACACTCATAAAGTACAACAGCTTGGTGAGAGTTCAAATTTCCGTCTTCTCAGTGATACAATGGCTATATTCTGTGTAAAATTTACTTAAAATGAAACAATTATTTTCTCTTTGGTGAAATAAACTCGTCTAATTTGAAATAAAGCTTATTACCAGAGATGTGTAGGAATTCTGTCTGGCTAAGTGTCTATTAGGCATAATAATCCGACCAGATATAATTTTGTGACTTTCACATTCACCCTTCTTTGAAGCTTTGTAACAGTAATAATCAGTTCCAATAATCTCTTATTCAGAGCTGAATATACTATTTGGTTAGCATTTGAAGCAAGGTGAAAGAGTTTTACGAGATAGCCAACCAGTTATTAAGTCATCTAGCACCAAGTAATTTTTCTCTCTAATCCACAAAACAAAGTATCTGGCATATTGCAGTTCTACACTGGGTAATTGTTAATTCAATTCTTTTGTTTTTACTGTTCAGTTTTCTGCGCTTACCTTCAGCTTTTCTTTAGCTGTGTTATTCTTCTAATTCAGTAAATTTTAATACGCTGTAAAAATTTTAGGGTCGAACAAATTATTTGAAAATCTTATCTGATTACTTTGAACTACATGGAAATGTTTGGGGTAATAATGAAGATTTACCGAAATTTGTGCATATTCATCAATTACAATACGGTCAGTCATATCTCCAGTTGTTGTCAAAAGCCCAAGTAAGTTGCTACATGCACTTGGTTTTCTACGTCAGATGCTTTTGTCTGATAATGTTCGATCTACAACTGGTTGAAACGATATGAAACTTGACATAACACTACATCAGCCAGTGTTTGTTGGTCTTTCCCTGTCTTTCGCAAAACCCCAATGCCTTTATTTGAGCTAATTGTGATCATATATTTGGTAAGGTCTATCGTTGAAATTCAGGATATGCATCTTGTTCCATTCTGAACATCATTTTATGGATTTACTCTCATCTCTACTAACATATGAACCCATGTGTGGAACTCGTTTGTCATCAAACACCGATCATCTCATTCATCAGTTTTATTAGTCAGAAAATCAAAGATTCTAGTAATATATGGCCCCTATTGAACAAGATGTAGCTGAACAGTCTACTAGATAGCTCTAGATGTTTGGTATCACTTTCGAGTTTGATTATGGCCAACTGTTGTGTAATCAATTTGTGTGTTTGTTTTATATAGTTGTTTATGTTGCCGCTGAATGTAGTCGATAATTTTGCAGTAGACAATCTACTTTTGATGGTATATATAGATCAATTCAAATCAAACTTTCTAGTGCTGTGCCTCATGATGACCAATAGGAGTAAACCCTGCTCGAACAGTTTCATTTATTTCATTGAGGTATAATTTCTGCCTCTTTTTGTCTAACTTTACTCTTTGTAATGCCAGAAGTGTGTATATATCATTCCGTAGTTTCATGATATTGGTTCAGTATAGCTCATTGATGAGAATAGTGTTTCAAACACCTTTGAAGTATCTTGATAGACGTTTTTTGACAGATACAGAAAATTGACACAGACTTCTGATAATAAAAGATGCGAATAAAATTATGCAAATATTTCCTTCCCTCTTAATCTAATGAATCAGCTTCAAAGTTGTTGACTGAAAGTCATTTAAACTGTGTATTTTACATGGTCTCTAAATAGTTATCTAACCCGGAATAACCAGAGAAAAACTGAAACTTAATGCTATAGAGATTACTGTAGTTAAGGATTGTGTCAATTTCAATATAAAATCATTTTTCTACCTTTTAATAACAGCATAAATCATTATCAAAGTTTCTCGGTTTACTCTCTTTTCCAAATTTTCACTTTAGGTTATGATTGGATTGGGATTTCCCTATGAAGGTCCTGGACCATTGGAAGCTATCGCAAATGGTATCATTTTCCTCAACCCTCGTTTCAATCCACCGCATAGCAGAAGTAACCAAAAATTTTTCAGGGATAAACCTACTTCACGTAGTGTAAGTGTTTATTTTAACAGTTTTATGTCTTCATGTTACTTATTCCCTGTAATGGTTGATCAGGTCGTGAACTTGTCATTCATCTCTGTTCCCATCCGTATATATGTATTGATGTTTAAATGTGAAAAAAATGTATTTGTTTTTGATCTTACTATTCATATGGTATGTATGAAATGAATTATGATAGATACTGGTGGCTTACTGTACACAATTTTAAATTTAATCCGTATGTGGAAGATTTGGAACATGCGAAATGAATTCGATTCATCCCACAATTTTTTTTTCTTGCTTAATTGTGTTTTATATTCCCAACTGTTATAACTTATTGCAGAAAGGAAGAAGAGAAATGTAGCCAAGTATATTTTAACCAATTAGCGTATTTATTTTTAAAGACAGTTTACTCGTTCATTTCACGGCATTATTTCGTGACTATTTCCATGTTTTCTAAAGGCCATTTACGTATTGTTCCATGCTGCTTCTTTGATAAGTTGTGGTTCACTAACTACAAACTATGCTCATCATTTTGTGGCATAAATGATGCCGCCTTATCTTGTTATTTACGTTGTGGACATATTAGTCTTCTGTATAAGCGCATTACTCGTTAGTCTTATACTAAGGGGCAGGAAGAACGGTAGTTCAAAGACTGCAAACATCTTGTGTTCAGTTTAATTGAGGACTAATAGGTGTGGAAAAAAAGTAGGAAAACAAGCGCAGCAACACTGGGACAGCCAGTCGTGACCGTGTTGTAGCGAGCAGCTTTGAGAGCCACTCCAGCAGCTGCTACGATAACCAATTGGGCTTCTATATTTGATGAAATACTACCTTTCTAGCTGGAATACTGAAACCTTATTGGTTATTACAGCAGTTGCCAGGGTGACCCTTAAAACCGTCCGTTGCAGCTGTACTGGTGGTTGTCGTGTCTGTCACGTGATACCAAATTTATGAGCGAATCTAAACTCCACCCTGGTAATAACTGAAATAACCAATTTGACTTCTCTCTTGATTTTGTGAAAATCTGCCTTTCCAGCCGAAATGAAGCTTAATTGGTCATTTCTATCGTCGTTAGGGTGGTTGAGTGACTTTAAAGGCCATCCTATCAACTGCCAAATTAACCAATCAGATTCCAGGATTCCACCGGCACTCACACAACTACCCAGATACACAAACCTTTCGTCTACTTTTAACTCCTCACCACCAACGACGAGTGTAGGCACAGGCTGCTGTGAATCTCGAAAAAGTACTTTGCACTTCGCGGTGCAAACCACATACCAAGCTTCTGGACATTACTGAGGTCTAGACAGTGTCAGCAGCCGTTAGACAGTAGATGGTTTCATTGCCTGATCTATGATCATGCATATATTCTCTAAGATTCTCGATCCTGTTATACCTTTTTGTTTCATTACAACCTAAATAAATTCTGATGGTTTTGTTTAATCATCAATTTAATGTACAAATGGTTTCCCAAATGATCTTTTCTTTTTTCAAGACTTATGAAGGCTGCATAAGTGATGTCCCTTCAAAAGATGCAAAGAAATAAAATATTATCTCTGTTGGTCAACTATTTGAAAGTCACTGAATTTCCTAAGTGTTCATTCTTGTTGTTGAAGAGGGACCGCAGCGAATTTCTGAACGCCGTGTCACCTTGACTTTACCTGTTCCCTGTTTGTTATACCCATCAGGAACTTTGAACCTTGTCCTTCTTTCAGAACTCGGAACTTCCCAGCAGATCTCGTATGCGACATATATACGTTGACATCGACCATAGGTGTATGACTTCGAGTTACACATCTGTTTATTAGGCGTGGTGGTATACGGAAGGGTTTTTATCCCGAACCAGCATGATTTTAAGTACTAAAAGCATTTTGTCTATTCAATATCGTGAAAAAGCCTGCAACTGGCAGTAAACATCAAGTTATCTCATCTATGCAACAGCCTACTGAGCATTTTTTTTATTGCTAAGTGAATATCTTTTCACTCATTACTACTTGGTATCCCTCCACAGCTTACTAGTCAACATCCATATATTGAGAATTATATTGGCGAACCTTATTCATATTTAATTGATATGGAAAATGAAACACAGATACGTTCAACAGTTGAACAACTGCTTACCAGTATTACTGTAAGTTGTTATTTGTAGATAATCATTTTGATTTTGTTGATCTATTGCTGTAAAGTAATTCACTTACATTTCACAATTCGCCTTAAAGTCATTTAATCAAGTGTGCAAATTGTATCCGATAGTTGCTTTTTGTATGTATTATCTGTAATTTAAGACAGTAAGCTGTTGGCGAGTGTGAATATAAGCATTGCTTTACGTAGATTTCATTTTCGTCGACCGATTATTGGATTACGTCGTCATAAATAGAATATATATATGTATATATATATATATATATATATATATATATATATATATATATATATATATATATATATATATATATATAATACTGACTACATTGTATCATTGGTGTACTTACTCACTTTGGAAACTAACTATTTGAGCATAATGAATTCACTGTATTTTGTGGCATTTCTCGTCACCTATCATACACACTGCAAGCAGGTGCTCCTATACCTGGAAGTTATTGAAAGTACAGCTCACTGAACGATAATGAAGTGATTTGAGGCTAAAGATACTTTTCTCAGGGAAATGAGATGATGGTTAGTAAATTCTTAAGGGAATAATTAGTTATGCCAGGTATAAAGAATAAAATATCGAGAAGATAATTATGAGAATGCTAGTTAAACACATAGACTTAAGTCGTAGTTAGTAAACAATGAGCGAAAATTATTAACAATAAGATTTCATTAACGTTACTGAAGGCTGAGAAACATTTGTCTCTGAATAAGAAAGCTGTTTTTACTCCTGAATTGAATAGACCTTATCAAACTTAATTACTTTGAACTGTACGTTCTCTTCGATGATTTCGAATCAGTGTGTGATGCTTTTATCTTGGTGGACGCACAGTTAAACAGTTCGGTTATTCAAAACACAGCTTTTTGAGCAGGTCTGTTAAAATAAGGTTTAACTGCATTCTTGTTACCAACTATTTACACTAACCCATTTGGCAACTTTAATTATGATTTTGAGAATTTACTTGCTTTTTCAGGAGTTATTTCAGTTGAGAGGTGGAAGTTTTTTATTTTTACACCTTTTGTTACTGAGTGTGTGATAAATTATGTTTGTTCAACACTCATTCCTTTAGTCTTATAACTTTATCCTTCTTTGTGGAATCTCTTACTTTCTCAAATATTTCATGACTGGTTTCTGCAGTCTGCTTGATGAATTCCAAATATTCGCAACTATTATTATCTTCTACTTCATTGCTTCAAACTTCAAATGAATTAGCCACCCGGTGAATCCTAATCTAAGTACATCGATGATATATGTAAGAAGGCTACCACCATAAGTGACATGATACTGTTTTGTACTGTTTGGTGTTATGTATTATAAGCCAGCCAGTAAAATGCCTTGCACCTAGGTTGTATGCTTACTGAAATGCTTCCCCGAGGCATCACTAAAACCTTCAGGAAACTTGTTTTTGGTAGATGTTTAGGTCTACAATACTCACTTCTAACTTCAAACGGAGCAACAACGTATTCACTTACTTCATGACTGTCTGATTAGTACTCTGGATTCTTAACTGTTTGCCCGTCTGGAACAAGTTAATGTACATAATCTTGGTTTGCGGGTGTCTAAATTGGAGTGCAGGCATCCATGGAGGTCACCCGAGAAAGACAGTAGCCAAAGTAATCAAAATAAGTGGAAACCAGTCAGTCACTTTACAGTATTACTGAATCTGATCGAACAGCTACATTGGCTGATGTAGAGATGTATCACTGTTACTTTTCACCAATAAACTTTTGACTTCAAGATCAGGAAGTTATATGTGTATTGCAGTACACCGTAGTCTTATTTGGATATGAAAACTAAAGAGCTGTTCATATTTTCGTAAACAAACATACCCTCTTTTATATGTATACTCAAGTTGTGCACATTTCTATTGCAACTTTAATATTTTGCATTGTTTATTGATTTCAGAATGAAGGTTATCGCCCCCATGAATATACTCCATGGGATTTCTTGAACGCCTTAATGCTTACCTGATACATCAAGACATTTGCTCGACACCTTTTTACTACAATATGATCCAGTCTCCATTGCCTGTTGTACAAGTTAATAAGTCCTCTATATTTAATTACTTAGATGTTCCTGGTGCTTCTGTCTCATGGCCTCCTGCTTCAAGTCTAAAGATTGTAGTCGGATCTCTTGGAAAATCCTGTGTACAAACATGTATGGAACTTCACACACCTGAACCTATTCTAATGTCATCTATTGATCATTCCGCCAATTCTGTTGTCAATACAACAGAAGATCAGCAGATATGGACTGGTTACCTATATTATCGTTCTGTATATGCTACTCCTCCACAAAACTACTCTCGTTTGCACGCACTTCGCTGTGCTCCAGAACATTTCCCAAGTGTTAATCATCGTCTTAACCTTCAGTATTTTGGCATTTTCTGTCCTAATGTTACTTACGCATCGAGTTCTGTAGCACCATTTTGGAATATGGCTACAAATTCCTGTGTTTTTCAAGCTGATCAACAATGGTTTGATTGCACGGCCTCGGAAAACGATACTGGATTTCAAAACTTTTCCCGATTCTGTCCATGTCGTGATGCGCTTCCTAACCAGATCTCTATATGTCCTAACTGTTTGTAAAAAGCTGTATTATGTACTTTCCTTATGATCCTAAGATTTACGCAGTTCGTATAAACTCAGTGATTGTTTGATTTGGTTTTTATCAACCCTCCACTATATTTTTTCCTATGTGTTCTTAAACTTTATGATTTATATAACCTATTCAGCACTTTAACACCTTAGTTCAAAGAACTAAATTCATTTTCTCTTTTACTATTTTCAAAAAGCATTTTGTCTTTTCAATTTTTAAATTATGAACCTGTTTTGAGTCCATTTGTAAACACATCATGCATGGAAAAGAAGTTTAAATTTGTCACTTTTGAAGTGATGACTGAATGGATATTTGTACACCAAGAAAGATAATATTTCCTGACTTGCATGCGTTTTTTAAGACTTGCTCATTACCACTACCATTACAGCCAAACTTGGAATTTAAACGTACATTGCGTCCTATGCAGTGGTGCCTAAGTTTTTGTTTGGTCACACGGTTGGGTTTAGTATATTTTTTGCTAACTTCGATCCGATTGCTCTTCGATATCGGTTCGTTTACTACTAGAATTTGAATGCATGCTAGTCCTTACATTCATCATAGGTGTAAAATGTTAGGACCATTTTACGCCAATATATAGATGAATCTATGACTTAGACATGGTATAATTCTTGATCTTGTTTATTTGAATCACACATATGAAACGTCCGTACTACTGCATGCTGATTATATCTAGCAGATTCGGTTGTGCCAGTCTGCTCCACGTTCAGTTTGAATCTACTTTTCATTTCACTTTGCTACTAACTGGTATTTATCACTAGCAAATCTCAGAAATTCTCATGTAATTATTTTATTTACTAAGACTATTATGGTTTAGTACTTCTGACTACTGTAATGTACTGTCGTAACACTACCAATTCGCCGTTTGTCAAAAACTGTAAAACTGGAATTTATTCTTTATTTGTCCCTTGGGTTCCTAGTGGAACACAGGGCTTCAGTAGCACGTCGCCATTTTAGGCTGTTCTCTGCAGTCTTTTTAACCTCGCTCCACGACTGTCCATAAGCTTTCATTTCTCCCTCACACCATCTCCTTTTCACCCTCAGCTCGTGTACCCAACTCATCGTTTCCCATTTGGGTTCCACTTGAGGGCCTGGCATGAAGCGCGTTGTCCTCAAAAAGTCTTTTCAGTATATGTCCAATCCCATCCATCTCCACTTTCTTCTACATATTTGTTGGGTGGTTCGTTCCCAGAGTTCCTTGTTGCTTATTCTTTCCGACAATCTGACCTTCAGTATCAAGCGAGCGTAGGTGGCATCTGTTGATGATTTATTTCTACAGTTTGTTGGAGATGCTTTTCGTAACGCGCCAAGCTCCTGAACCATCACATGGAAGCACTGACTTGATATACATGTTGAAAATCCGGATCTTGTTCACGCTTTATGCTGAGTGCAGTAGATCTCCACACTGATTTCAGACTATCGAAGGCCTGTCTTGCTTTTGCGACCGTGTCTTTGACATCGTCACCTGTACCGCCTGTAGTTGAGACGACGCTGCCTAGGTAGACAGGTGAAAGAGACTACTTCCTTGAGAATTCTCCCGTTGGTAGTGATTGGTGCTTGTTGTTGTTGGTTAGGTATCTTCATCACCTCCGTCTTCTCTACCTTCACCTGAAGGAAGTCCCGTCTTCGCTACCTCTTCTGCCAACTTGTTAGTTTTCGCCAGTAGGTCTTGGAGTTTGTGCGACGAGACATTAGAGATGAGTCATCATCATCATCATCGGCGGCGGCGAAATCCAAATCTTCTGGGGTCTTTTCATCGGTCCAGCCAACGTATCCCGATCTTCTCCCTCACAGTTTGTTGCATGATCCAGTCCAGTCCAGTCCAGTCGACTACAATCAGGAAGATGATCGGTGGTAGTAGGTGGCAGCCTTGTCTTACTCCTGTCTTCACTTCGAAGGCGTCACTGAGCTTTCCGTTGTGAATCACTTGGTATGTAGCATCATATAGCATAGCATGTAGCTGTTGAATGAGGTTGATAAAGGTTTGTGGCACTAAAACCTTAATGTTGAAGCAGGTGCCTGCCAAATAGCTCCTAGGTTGACGCTGTCGAAGGCCTTTTCAAAGTCGATGACGTTGAGTTAGAGAGTTGACTGCGATTCTGCGCTCTGTTCTATGATGATACGTAGTGTTGCGTTGTAATTTGATCCTCAGATGATTTGTTTTGCCTGCAGCTAGCCAGCCAACCAGCCTGTTCCGGTGGTAGTTTTGAATGCGGAGCATGTTTTAGTCTCTCGAGGATGATATGGCCTATTATTTTGCCTGCTCCGGGCGGACAGCAGCATGACTCCTCGCCAGTTCTTCCAATGATTGAGGTCACTCCTCTTTGGTAGTTTGACAAGGTAACCCATCTTCCAGTCGGCAGGTACCTCTCCTCCTTTCCAAACCTTCTGCAGTAGTGGTGTTGTGTGAGCATGTCCGCTGTTGTCTCTGCATCTGTTTTCAGTGCTTCTGACAGGATTCCATCTGGTCCTGCTACTTTACCGGATTTCAGCAATTTTGTGGCATTCAGGACTTTGCTTTTGTCGGAGGGCCTGTGTTCACTTGTAGTTCTGCCTTTGCTGGTGGTATTTGTGGACGAGTTGCAGGTGGTGGTGTTGGTGGTCGATTGAAGAGCTTTTTGAAGTGGTCAGCCCATTGTTTCGTTTATTTCTCCTATTTGGTAGCTAGGTTTCCCTCACTATCTTTCATTGGTTTCTTCTGAGTTGTTCTCTTCCCGGATATTAACCTGGTTATTTGATATAATGTTGTCAGGTCTCTATCTCTTGTACCAGCAGCCTGTTCTGCTTCACTTGCCAGTGTGTTGCAGAGGTGTCTTTTGACTTTCCGTTCACTCTTCTCAACTTCTTTGTCCAGTGTAGTGTTTTATAGGTTGTGTTTAGTTCCTCTTTTCGTTCGTTATCCTTGCACTGCACTCATTTATCTTTCGCTTCACCATCTTCATCTCCCTCCTCTATCAGCTTCTATATGTCCGTTGAGATCCATTCCTTGTCTTCTTTCTTTTTCCTTCTTAACACGGTTATGCTGGTTTCCTTCCACATATCTTCCACAGAGTTCCACTGTCCTTCGACGCCCAACCCTTCACGGATGTTGCTTAATGTCTCCCAATTTTTCCAAACCATCCATTCCATTGTTGATCAGGATACGTTCAAAATTAACAAAACTGTTGATAGTGAAGGTCGATCAAGATATAACATAAGTGGTCTACAAATTATTTATTTTGAACGACAGGTTGTGTGATATGATAAAAATCGGATCCTATCAGGGAAAACCAGTTATACAACAAATGAATGGCAGGGATTGTTTTTAAAATTAAATTGAAGTCGAAGTTACAGAGGAAAACATGAGTTAGACCAGATTCTCTATGTGGACGCCTGGAACCTCATTGATCCATTGGCGTACAGCTGTTGGAAGATTTTTTTTACTTGATAAATAACTTTGAATGCGAAGTCCCTTCAAATCAAATAACTGTTGTTGACAATATGTTTAATAATATTACCCCAGGATATTGCCATGAAGCTCTCACCAGGCAACCTATATCCCTTGATTCACAGGTCCAAAAGAAGTATAAGCATAGGAGTATTCAAATGCAATAGTTTTATCATTCGGCCTGCAACTGAACATTGACAGGAAAACACTATCCTGCGAGGAAAATTTGATATCCATGTTGAATATAAAATGATGATAGCTAGACCCTCATTCAAATAAATATGTTGAAGTTCATCCTAACCTGTATTGTAAGTAAAAGTTATAACCACTGGGATAATATCCCTCAGTTATGACGCTTTTATGGAGAAAGTCACCGGATGAACTACAAGTAAAGGTTAACAGTTATCAGTGATAACAAGGTAATATGCTAAAGACTCTGTTAAAACGTAAAGCTCACTTCGCAAACGAACAAATTAACCAAATCGTCGAGATGAGTTAATGCATACCTTAGTCAAGGAAGTTAAGATAGCAATCAAAATGAAAGTCTTGAATACCAAAGGCCAGGAAAGTAAAGATAACTCACAAACAAATGAAGACGATTCAGTTTTCAGGGGTTCTGCAGCTGGAATCAGTCAGTCATGAAAAATTCCTTGAAATGCAGGTAGATGCCAGTAGGCAAGTAGTAAGAGTTTAACATAAAAGTAGGTTTGTGTTTAGATATTGACACAAACAAGATCAACATGTATGACATCCAGCAGTCCTTTTCTTTAGATCGTCAGCCACTGGATCACTTCTTATTTCTAGATTGATGTAAAACATTATTTTCCACTCCAATATAAATATAGGTCTATAAATCATGAGGGATACTGGTTTTCAATCAGAGTTTTCCTAACATGCAAATCTCTTCTAAAAAACCTCCAGCTGCAATTTTGCCTGATGCAGGTAACAGACCGCATTGTGCGGTTTATCACCTGGTGAACAAACATTTACCGAATTAAGAAAAGAAATATATTTCTTCTCAATTAGGTCTTCATCTTCAGCTCACACAAATATATAGTTTTACAATTTTATCGAATTACCAATCACGTGGTGTTTTAGAAATAAGAATGTAAATAATCAAAAATTGAAAATATGAAGCAGGCTATTCTTAGGTAAATGGAGTGATTCTTGATGAGTGTCCAGCCATTCACAATAAGCGATTACGCAATGATGAAAGAAAAATGAATTTTGATGGTAACAAGAAGGGGAAGAGGTGCACAAAGTAATCCTAGAAGTTGCATCATATTGCCGATTTTAGTAACTCTGTTGATTATTTACATGTCTATTTCTAAACATCACGTGATTGGTAATCCGATTAAATTGTAAAACTATATATTAGTGTGAGCCCAAGATGAAGCAGTAATTGAAAAGAGATATATTTCTTCGCTCAATCAGTCTTTTTCTAGATGTCTAAATGGGGATATCCAATGTATTTACTGAATTGTTCCAAAATTCAACGATGCGCCTTCGAAATCTGTGGGAATGAGGCTAATTATCCATCTTAAACCTGTCGAAATTTAACACAAATTTCCTGATGATATCCAGAGATCTGCAAATGATCACTCATCAGTATCGTTTGCTCTACAAGTGGGAGGTATATCTATCGAACTTAACTCTTGAAATGTAAACCAAAATATCAATAGACTTCATGCAAATGAACGGTTTAAAAACTTGATCAACCAGACGAGCGGTTTTACCTCAGTTTCTAAATAACGGTATGTAAACTTCAAATGAACCACTTCTAGTACACCTTCCTGGCATCCAAATGCAACTATGGTTAAAACAAATAGAACAAACTGAAATAACTAAATAAACCTCAAACTTGCCTCCGGATGCTTAAGGTATAATAAGTTTTGTTTCAACGAGCAGGCTTCGACGCCGTTTTGCTCTCGCTTTGTGCTAGTTGGCATGCACATCCCCAGAGTCCCTAGTTCAGCCATACTAGCCAGATATGTTGGATGAACTTTTCCTCCAATGATTACCACCAGATTTATTCCAATTAAATACATTGCTTCCTTGAATGTATTGCTGAATACCAGTCTTTTTGACTTCTGTTTCATTAACAGTACTTACACTTTGGTAAGGTTCTGATTAAGCAGGTACTAGAGCACATCGAGGTAGGTACGGCTGGTCAAACGTTACGCAATAGTAACACAACTAGCACCCCTACTTACTTTTGTTCGTTGTGGGCAGTGTTCTTATATCGAATCAAATGTAGGTTGTCTATCAGCTAATGGGTATGTTGGGGATTTCTGTCAATTAAGGTGCCAAATGTTTCACTTATTACCACACTCTGATAACGGTGAATAACTAATTTTTATGAACGACTCAGCTGACTATGATGAAATGTTCATTCTACTCTTAATCCGAAAAAATTCCCCCCGAACAAGAATTAAACCTCAGTTTGTTGTACAACGAATTACTGAGGTTTGGGGAAAACTAAAAAGTGATCAGCTAGCCAGATGGGATATGTAGGAAAGCATAACAACAACAAATTTTGTAATGCCCAGGTTGTGTGTATTGGCTTAAATACACAGCGCTTATTCTGTTCCACATAAGCATCCTCATGAGTGATTAAACAATTGTGATAACTTGACTTCGTGGTTGGCGTTGATATGGGTGTTCGCTTGTAATATCCATCACTTTCGGAGTATCAATGGTCAGGTTACCGATTCGCTATCCGCTACATCCGACTAATAACCAACTTTCTCTTGGCATCTATTCGATCTACAAGAAGATATGGGGGCAAATAGGTTTCCATATTCAGAACAACACGTTCTAGTCTTTTTACGGTTCATGAAACAGGTGGTGTCTGAAGAGTTTTATGATTTGTCACATTCCATAATACTGCTTAGAAGCTATTTAACTGCCAGCTCGATATACCAAACGATCTCGAAGATAGTGAATTTGTCTACCATATGAAAAATTATCATGTAGTTACAGCAGTGATCCGTAAAGTTAGTCACCTACTCCTGCATTTGTTACACCCGTTCTTTTTCCCGTGCTTTCAACTACATTCTTAAGTACAAAATATGATTTCATCCGTTTGTTGCATAATCTTCGATTGAGACTGTTTCCAAATCTCTCATACGCAAGTAGTGCTTGGAAATGTTGCCTTATCAATCGTCACCACTGACAGCGAAACATTATTTGAAAGCTGTTTGTTTCACCTAGCCATCGTATTGTTGGACATCAGTTATATGTGTACTGTATGCCACTTTTTTCTAAAGGTGTGGTTGAACATTCACATCCATAATATTTAGTCTGTTAATCTTGTCAACCATGCCGTAAAATAAAAATTGGTCACCCCGTTTAGCAACCGACTGAGAAAGCATGTTAAGATGTTTCCGCTTTGGATAGCTAAATGATATGACCAACTGCGTGCAGTTACCGGAGAAGTTTCTGAATAAGTCGTCTGGACATCGTAATTAGAAGTGATAGTTTTATAGCTGTGGCTCTCGGTAAAACAATTGCGTTTTGTAGTCTTTACACAATGCAGAGTATGTTATTGAAGCTGCTTTGCATGGAAGGCATCAGACGTTGAATGTTCATAGCCAAATCCCTTAGCTCTTGGTTTATTAGTTAACTATTTTTGATCTTATGACATGGACACAGATAACAGACACAAATAAATAGTGTTTTCAGTGGTAGGTCTACCAACCCAGAAGATTGGTTAGGATCCTAGAAGCAGTGAGTCCAATGACAGCCTAGTTCGCAGTCCATAGCTCAGTGTTTTGGGGAGATGACTGTCAACCAGTTTGTCAAGGGTTCGAACCCCGCTCCACCTGTCGAGGTTCGAGCAGCCAGGTGATATCACTAGCCCTAAACTCAACAGGTGTGGCGCATTGCCTACTTAGCGGATGTGCACAAGCTTGCTGACTGGATTTCGTTAGATACATTAACATAAGGCTACTCAAGGGCCAGAAAAAGACAAGACTACGAGAAGCTTGAAAACAACTAGGCTACGCGGCAGAAGCAAAACTAGTTGCGTCCGCGACGAAGACTTGTTCAGTGTCGACCGATTCCGCAAAATCAGTAGCCTACAGTTTGACGACATTCTAACTTCATGTTAGACTTAGTATTTTTAGCAATCTTGCTTGGTCGAAGGTATGCAGTAAAGTGTACATGTTATTCAATATTTGTCGTGTTACGTTGCGATGCCTTTCATAATCGCTGATGGCTTATTCATCCTGGTTAACTACGCAGTATCCTTTCTGGTTACCACACTGTAATCTCTCTTTGTATTGGTTTTTTGAGTCTCCGGCAAGAACAGTGAACAATAGTCGCTGGAGAGCAACCACATTCATATTGTCTATTCCTGAAGCCTGGTCTAATTTTAATGACCATCACGGTGACCTTTGTCAGGTCTCATTTGGCTGGAGGAAAGCGGCTTACTGTGGATAAGTGACATCCAGGAAAGAGAAAGTGTCTGACATTTACATCTGACAATAATAATAAACAAAAGTTTATTCTCATATTAGTAAGTTAACATGCGAGAAGCCAGTTTATAGGCATCATCACATTCATATATGTTGGAAAATGTACAAGATTTTGCGGGATCTGAATGGTGCGGAATGCAGGTCATCAAATTAGATTAAAAACATCAGAAGATTACACAAGTCATGAAATGAATGAGAAAATACTACCTTTCAGCGTATACAGAGTGTTAAAATTTGGATCGTTTTCAGTCATACTTTCTTTTTTCATCGTGAGTGGCACCAAGGTCGCACGAAATTCCGAATTTCCGTGGCAAGCAGTCGACTTGGTTGAAGATGACATAACAGTTTCTCTAAGTGATACACATGGGGTTTCTGTCGGCTGTTGTCTTGCAGCCAACGCGGGTATATAGAGCCCTTGGGTCTCTGTTTTGTATTCTAGGGGGTTTAACTCCTTGACTTTCATTGACGGTGTGATCTATGTGTTTGTTCTCATCTACAAAAAAATCTACTGGTAATTTCCCAAACCCGATGGCAGACATCGTCGTTCTAGAACAAATTCAGGGAAGAGCCACAAAGAAAGTCGTAGGGCTATTGCAGAAACTTCATCTGGAACGATCAATTGTCATAAATCTGTATCGAAGATAATACAAAGAGGATGGTGGCCATGACGCATCGTTTCAACGACACTCCTCTTCATTTTAAAGGGTCATTACTTACCTTTAATTAGAAATGCTACCTTGAGGTCATCCTATCTAATCAGGTCACAAGAGAACATGTCTGATGGCCCACCCAAACTTTTTCAGTTGGAGTCGTTAAAACGTGGAACTACCTTCCTGATGAAGTTATCACAGCCCTCTCTAATGATACCTTCTGAAGGAAATTGGACCCATATGTGGAATCCTTTGGTTTAGATGGACTGCACTTAAGAAGCCATCCGTCGTCTTGAGAACTATGAATAAGGGAACTACCAATATCGAGCCAGTTATTTGATTTATTTTCTCTGTCCTTTGAGGCTTCGTTGGCATAGAATAGCAGCCAACTGCTCCAGATATAGCAACTATTACATTATGAAAAGTGAAGAATCAAAGGAATCATTGTTTGTTGTTTTTACCAAAATAAGTTTGAAGTTTGAATGGTCAACCTTGGCGTGAATATAGTTTTCAAGGTCACGTCTGTCTTTGTCGTGTAGTCACCTGTGAGGACTTTTATGATTACGGTAGTATGCATGCTTTGGTGAATATTTATTCATTTTCATCTAAAGGCACCCAATCATTAAATTGCTTCAACCTAGTCCAACAGCAGTTCGAGTGACATTATTTGATTTCGTTCGTCGTAGACCCAGTTGAACTGGGTCGATCGTCACCTATTGAATCTTTTCTAGCACCAATCATACAGGATACATACAGAAATACGGTCTTTAACTTATCAGGTTAGACAGCGGACACAGTTTATATTCCATATGAGTTATTGAACCCTGCAATTCCAGAGTATTAATCCTCTTTCCGCAGAAGTGATCCAGGCTACTTCATTAGAATCCCCGAAAGTTGGCATAATACCTGATTAAGTTGTGGATAGGATACGCTCAGAACTCACGATTTCTAAATTCTAAGCGATACTCTTGGCTCTTTCTTTAATTGTACGCGGGTCAACAATGACAGGAATTCAGACTCAGATTTGTTGTTTGAGGATAGGAGGCTAGGAGCTTATATTAATCCTTTTCCAGTAGATTTCTGTACTTTTCCAGGCCTTTTTTGAACGAGTCAGTTGATGATGCAGACACCACTTCTTCTGGAGTCGGTTACAGGCGTTGATGACTCGACGCGAGTACCAGTACTCTGCGGAGACTATGATCGTTCTTTGCTTTTATAGTCTCCTACTATGTCTTCTGAGGTGTTCCGACCTAGTGGGAAGGAAAAGAGAAGATAGATCAGATCCAAAGCCGTTTCTTAGAATCCTTTATGCATGATTGGGTTTCCCCTCGGTCTGTGATAGGGCAAAGTGAAGGGGTTCAGCTCCTTAAGTCGGTCTTCATAGAAGAGGCCAGCCACCGCAGGGATGACTGCCCTCTGAATTCTTTCTAGAAGGTCTGCGTCGCCTTTCAGACAAGGATTAGTCGCCTGTGTACAGTTTTCTAATTTAGACCTAACTGAGGATGTGTATTAGATGGTGAACATGTCACCACTTATTTTCGTAAACGTCCTACGTAATGCTCAGTGTCCTAGAACTCCGAGATGCTACCAATCAACAATGAGCCGCGGTTTTCAAGTCATAACTCACTATGACTCCTAGGTCATTGTGGATCAGTACTGACGGTAAAGGAGTCCCACCGGTATCGTAGGCGTTGCTGTGTGTGTGCCCCGAATGCATGCTCATACATTTACCTGCATTGACAGGCATCAGCCACTTCTCTGACCACGTAAACAAGCTGTTCATCTCTGCCTGAATCGCACGTATATTCTCATCGTTCCTGATTTCCTGCCAGATTTCTACATCAGCGTAGAGATATAAGATTGATTTGTCAATGAGCTCATTATAGAAGGTTTCTAAGGGGAATGTAGATATTTTCATCTTGGTTCGTTTTTTCATTTGTTTCACTTTAGCCTAATTGTGATCCTCTCAACCATCGGCGTAAACCACAACCATTCAGTGACATTAATGATCAAATTACACTGGAATCCAGCAACGACAGGAACTATTAATCCACGGGTTCCAGACGGTGAAGCCAGTTAAGCGAAAGTTTTATTGCGTATGTAACTACTTAAATCAATAAGACCGCACTTTTAGAAGAACTTGAGTCTTTGCAACATCCTATGAAAGCGCAAAAGCTTTACTTCAGAATTACTGTAGTACATAATTAGATACTTCTCAACATTTCAGGAATATCAATGGGCATCTGACCTATACTAAACCCTAATGTCGGTATTACGGTAGGGATCTCACTAACTACAACTCGTCACTATTGAAATCCTTGTAGTCTTCGGAACTGTCGTCAGTCTTACGACCTTTCTATTTTGTGATGGCTTTATTTGGTAGGTTGGTTACCCAAGTGTAGTCTATGAACACTAAGCTAACTTTTCAAATGGTTTGTGCGTTCCAAGTTTGGTGGTTTCGTCGCTTGTTGACCTGCACACTCGACTTCTGACCCTTCCATATACCGAGGTCTAGGGAGTCAGGCAGTAACGTTGGCTCGCACAAATTATGTAGCTCATTTCCTACTGTATGCACGTGCACGTGATTCTCCAGTTGCCTCAATTTTCTTCCGATATTATTTTCATTTTTCTTTTTGTATTTGGTTTCTCTTTTACCACTGTTTATTAGTTCTGTTTCGTTTTCGAGAATTTGTGATTCAATCCATTGCATTAATACGTTAAAATCCACGTTTACCTCAGTGTAGGTTGTTTTGTACCCAAGTAGATCAAGTATCAAAAACGATTTTTATTCATTCCATTGAAGTGGCGAAGATTTTCATTTTGTAGATTTTAACTGCCGTTTAATGTGGAATGATGCGTCCATATTAAACTATTTTATTTGATATCGTACATAGTGATACTATATTGTTTACTTAACCATAACGCTATTGTACTGTGTTCTGTCAACGAAATTGACCTGTATGAGGCTACACTCAACCGCAATGCTGAAGTTCGACATTTACGTGTGATAATACTCGCCTAAACCTTTTTGAGTTAGTTAAGGTTAAAATTCATCCTTAATATTTGGTTTGCCTTGTAAAAACAAAGTACCGCAGAAAATTTAAGGATAAATATGATTGTTGTATTTGGCTGTTTGTTTACTTTTTCTCCCATCCTATTAGGCTGGTTTGCACAGTCATTCTTCAAGTAGTTCCATCGCCTGTTGTATTTTTTACACTGCATGAACTTTGAATACACAAATGAAGATCTCATTTTGCAGTCAAGTAGCTCTTTGTCCAAAGTAAGAACATTTTGAGCTCCGCTTATGTTGTAGTTTGATAAAACTATGGAATCTCTGTGGACTGTTTCCTATGAAGGCAATTATTTTCGATATAAGATTGATTTATCAATGAGCTCATTACAGAAGGTTTCTAAGAGGAATGTGGATATTTTCATCTTGGTAAGTTTTTTTTATTATTTGTTTCGCCTTAGCCTAATTGTAATCGTTTCAACCATCGGCGTAAACCACAACCATTCAGTGACATTAATGATCCAATAACACCGGAATCCTTCAATTTTAACAAAGTACCTACCCGTGAAATCTTGCTAAATGTTTTTGAAAAGCATAATACAGTAAGTATTGCATTATTCATAACTTCAGAAATCTTCTTTCATCCTGATAAATGTCAGTCCCTTCTCTTATTTGCATTCTCTTTTCGTCCCTGAAATGAAAGAGTGTTACAATCAGGTATGAAGATTGATTTCTAATTCTCTCAGGTTCTCAGGAAACAGTCGCTTTATTCAGCTGTTAAATGTTTTCTCTTAAGTGCCAACAGGTTAGTTCCTTACATCTATACTTGTTTTCTTTAACTTCTATGGTTGGTTTGTAATTTGGTTTACTGGTTATATTATATCGCTGTTTTATTATTGTATAGTATTACCTAATTCCCTAAGATAAACTAGATTTTGCCCAGCTATCTGTGTAGACGGGATTTATTTGCAGTAAGCAACACTCAAGTTCATTCTGTAGCAGTTAAACAGCCTTTGCAAGTTCTTTCGTGAGTGAATACCTACAACTACAAATTCAAAAAAGTGTCACATCAACTTTCTACCTAAATGTTTTCTGATTTAAAAAATAGTCTGCTAGTAACGCTAACGTCTTCCTCAGGAAAGATGGATCTTATTGATTTACTCAATATCCAGTCAAACAATTAGTTTCTTCCCCTTAATTTTGAAATATTTTCTGCCTTGGTGTATGAAGTCCGGAATTAACCACCTGAAATACTAGTAACTCAGTTGTTTTCAGTATAAATATTGTTCAACTGACAGCTTGACATCACCTAGTAATCTGCCAGTCAGGATAACCCAGTTGAATTATTCCAAGTAAGGTTTATAATCTCTGAGAAACTGTCGTGTCAGAAATGTTATTTCATAAGTGGTAAGTGTTAAGGCGGTTACTATCATAGTGTAAATTATTTATACTATGATAAACGTCTGATATTTGAATCCCATTATTGTCTGAACAAAATGTGATAGTCGTTAGTTGTTCCTCAAGGTCGGCTAGCAACCTAAGTGTGATATCTTCACACTCGTAAGAAGTTCAGAAGTCTGCGTCCAAAAGCCGTACATGTAACCAGTGGCACCAAGCTAACCTCGTCATATTGCTGTAACTTGCAGCAGAAAAAAATCCGTCCTAGATTGACGCTTATTTCAGTATCTGTCTGGATTCCAACCGCAGACTTGTTCGAGCACATGTCTTTCTGTACCTAAATGGGTACAAATAAATCCAACTAAGAAGTTTCTGTGCTCAACATGCTAGCAGGAAAATAAGGCCAGTTTTAATGAGCAGGTAACTCAGCATTTTCATGTACAAATTTCCCCCCTTATGAATTTGAAAAGAGCGATAACAAGGACAAATACGACACGTTCATTTTATTTTGGCTTTCATATTCAACCTACTGCAGAAATAGTATTAAAGACAGTTAATAGCGTACAACCATATGTCACCCAATATCAGCATGGCACTAGGCATTACTACTTAACGGTCCAAGTCACTACACCTGGCATCAGCATATCAAAATAAAAAGCAAAAAATGAAAGATAGAAAAGTGGTAAGAATATAGTCAAAGTCGTAGAAATTCAAAAGAAAACAAAAGAAAGTGAAGCAAATAAAAAAGTATAATATAGCGATTACGATGAAAATAATGTGTGTATGCAACTGTACTACTGTCATAGATTCTTATCAATTTCGAATGTTATGCAAACCCCAACTGGGAAATATCCGTCCTCCTACATGACTCATACCAACAGTCCGGGACTTCATGGACTAATACACTGTTTTAGTCTGTCTACTTGTAATTTTTCAATAACCCCAACATTTGTCAACTAACGTTGTGCAAAAGGGCATGCTTAACACATATTCCAGCCACCTCAGTTGATAAAGGTTCACAACCTCTCTAGAACGCTACGCCTGACTCCTAAGTTAGCGATTTAGTGACACTACGAAGGCAACGGTGATCGAATACCTGAAAACGCTTCCCTTACTATACCTCTGTTGGCCATGTTCCACAACCAAACAGTAACAGGGAAAATTTTAGCGTGGCACACCCGACTCTTATAAGCAATTCAATATTATGGCGGCCCCATAAGTGGCATAATTTGGCGGAAGGCAATCGAGCCTTCTGTATCCTTGTGGAGATTTCCTCGTTCACTGACCCACTAAGGATCCGGCTTTTAAGGTAACCACTTCACTTCCTATGGTTAAACAAGTCACCGCTGAACGCCAGTTTTGCAATCAGTTGACGAAAAACGCATCTCAAGCGTTCTTCAATTGCAATTCAGGGCGTTCAGTAGACTCTGCATCATATCAAAGTCTTGATCTAACAGGAATATGTTATCTGAGTACTCTGGACCAATTTGGGAGTTTCTTGCAATAAGATCGTTCACTTTAGGGTCAGACGGCTAGAGGGAGACTTCCATAGGTTCTTCCATGAGAAATTGAGTAAGAATTGAGAGAGAGTGGATATCTTCAATGTAGAGTAATCAATATTCACAACTCACCTGATACCTTCCTATAGGTTCTGGCACTCCCACGGGTGTTTGAGTACAATGATGTACTTACCCACCACCCGTCCTAGTTACAGACTGTCACAAGACCTCTCGGTCAATGGAGTTGAATACTACCTTCAGGTCAAGAAATACGGTTAGTGTCAGACATCGGTAAGTGTGCCTTTGCTTCAAGACTCGGCGGATAGTGAACATTTGGTTGATACACTCATGATCAGTTTCAAAACCCGCCTAACTTTCTCAAGCTTTTTTCCCCATAAACTTCATTCAGGCGTCTAATGAATCCTAATAATGTCCAGCAATTTGACTGGAGAAGAAATTATTGTTCTTACGATCAGTATTACAAGAAGATCAAACAACGATGAAACATAATCAATCATTGAAAGCGCTACTCAGAAAATCCTCTGCGGTGAAACTGGTTTCATTTTATAGTACAGGCAAAAGTAAATACTGATCTCATGCCACTCCAGACTACATTTACTTATTCCCTTGCAGTTATCAAAGCAGGCATATTTGGAGGGTAGAGATACGAGTAGCTACTCATTCTCTCTACCACGATCCGGGAAACATATCTGAAAGAACCGAATGCTATGAACAGCTCAATTACCTGTCATCGGTTTGAAACGAAACTACGTTGATTTTAAAAATACCTTTGAAATCACTAAGAAACAGTTTAATTTTAATGCCTGATAAGATCAACATTGAGAAAGATGTCTTTTGTCACTTCTGAGAACCAATGTCTGGAATTTTGAACGGGACAACTTGACAAACAGCATAAATGACCTACAGTTGCACTTGAATTGCACACCATGTAATCTGAGTCTGAAATGAAAACAGGTTTTGGTGGTCCACTTCTTACCTAGGTTAAAAAACTACCGTAAAGTTCAAATGCATCAAAGCAATTTAACTAAGTTGCATACCTCAGGAACCCTTTTAGGGTTGATTTTCAGGCAAACAAACAAATCTATAACCTGACACAGAAAGGTATCAGATCAAAATCCATAATTTACAGTAGCGTGCAAAGAACAAGTGGGTAAAAAAAACAATACAATTAACGTATCTTCAAACTGTTGAAGTTGTACGCCCTGTTGTAAATGGTTTTGAACTATATCATCAAGATTCGCCAACCATTGATTTTTGTCACATCCAGGACCTCAGCTAGGCAATCTACACCTCCCTATGTGGCTCAGGGCTATAGTCAAAGACTTCATGAACTAGTGCGAAGTCTTATTCAATTCACCCCTACTACTGTTCCAAGCCAGTCTTAATTCTGCTAAAATTGCACCCCAAAGTAGGTGGCAGCTCAGTATGTGTAACACGTGCCCATTTGAGGAAAGTTCACAACCTCATCGAATGACTTGGCGTCATTGTCTAGTACACCCTGATTGCCTCGCCGTTACTCATACGGTGACTCCAACACACGTGAACACTGCTTTTAGGACATCTATGGTCATAAACTTGTATTCTCTTCATATCTCCTATTTTCAGAGGTCATGTTCTACGGTTATAAAATAAGAAATACTTGTACTTAAATATTTCATCGGCGCCAGAGGTAATGCAAGTTAGCAAATACTAAGCTGGCCCTTTGTATTTGAGCTGAGATTTCAGAAACCCTAATAGTCTGTATTAATTTTTCAGTGATGATATATACGTGACTGGTTCATATTGAAAACTTATGAAAATATGTAAACAAGGGTGTTAAATATTTCTCTGTAGTAGCAACTTAATAATTACAGTAATGTAGACAGATAATACATAAATAACAGCTAGGATAAGATAGCTATTTCTTTACTGTTACGTAGTCACTGAGTAAGTTCTTTACTAACATTTCTTCACCCAAGATGTGCTTTAAATAAGGCATAGTTGAGTTTTGGCATTAAGTGATACGAACATAGGTCAGTGATGTCTCTTCTTTTACTCCATGAGGATGACAAGAAAAAGTCGTGAATAAAAAGGATTATCAGTTTCTATAAAATGATTAACTAAGTGGATCAGTGACTCACTGCTAACCCTTCTGATAACAATGTAACATAGTCATCTTTTAGAAGTCGAAGAAAGAATACGTGCAGAACAGTGAAGAAAATTGGGTAAAATAAAGGGGTTAATGAAGCGTAAAAATAAGGGGTGCTATACCAGAAAGTTTCAGCTTCCTTACATAGTATGTTAGACGAAAAATATTTAGAAGTCAGCAAGATCTAGGATAAAGAACAAAGATAAAAATAAGAACTCTATCCAAGATTGCGAATCTCGGAAAATTCTGTCCTTCACATGGACTGAGACGTTCTGCAATATGTTCGATATTCTGCAGAACACTCTGATATTGCATTTTTGAACACTTTCTTAATCTCTTTCAAGGTGTGTAACCTGTATAGAAGGCTGTGTGCACCTTTTAAAATACTGAAAAAACAAGGAGGCAACGGAATCAGAGTATGTAAACAAGATTCTTGAAGTGAACAATAGTCCGACAAAATTCATTCGCAATACAGAAACTAATACTAAACCAGATCCTAAAAGTAATCATAAATCCATAGACCACAACAATAGTTATCCCATACAAGTCACACACCTTGGATGAGATTAGGAAATCGCTCAAAAAATGCAGTATTAGAGTGTTCTGTGGGAAATCGAACATATTGCAGAGCACCCTAGTTCATGTGAAAAACAAAATTCCCCAAGATTAACGGTCTAATTTTGCTTATAAAAAAATGCTCAGATTGCAATATAGTATACATAAGACAAACTACACGTGAAGTTGAAGTAAGAAAAACTGAACACCGAAGGGCTGCCACCTAACCCTCTAGAAATACAGCAAAACTGAAAAAGCTTAAAAACACTATGGTTAACTCTAGGTCACAAGCTCAAATTTGGTAACATCGAACTTATTCAGAAAAACCTTAGAAACTATAAAGTATACTTCACAGCAGATTCCCTTCACACAAAGTAATGAGTAGATGAAACAGCTTAACACGGCTTTGACCACCCCCTCTCCACCCCCAACTACTGACATAAACAGCATGCGATAAGAGCCACAAGCACATGTGTACACACAAACCTCAATTTGTAATTCGCGCACTCATCACACTACATATAGTCTTTTCTTAACAGTATGGCAACACAAAATCATCCATCCTAGAAAACGGAAATCGAAAAATCATACATAAGCCTAGTTATTTTATATTCCGATTTACGATAACTTTGGAAAAGGTATTAGCACTAAGTAACAAAGCATCAGTCAAAATGATTTTTCTCACTTAGATGCTGTAGCTAGTTTCGAAACAATTAGTCCATTTTGTGAACTTACTGGAATTAGAAGTCGGAGTTTATCTGAATATTGTGTGTTGTATTTGCGCAATACATTTTGAACAATCTGATCACACATTTACTTGTCAAGTCAATTCAAGGTAAAACGGAGAGTGAGAGGACAAATACAGCAATTAAGATAATAGAAGATTAAAATCAAGAAACATGAGAACAAACAGGAAGTGAAATAGTTGATCTTAATCTTGGTAAGAAAACAGAGTTTACTTGGGTAGGTGTAGTGTGTAGGAACCAATTGTTTTTGTACATACAAAGGTGGTTTTGATCTGTGTATGGCTATCGGTTCCACAAAAGAAGATATAAGAGACTTGGAAGCAAAAGTAAGCGCTCATTTAGTGAAACTTTTGAATATGAACACTATTAGCAAAGAGGAATTTAATTCATTGAAACCTATGGGATCTGAATTTTCAAATTTATATGGATTACCTAAGCTTCATAAAACTAATAATCCTTCACGCCCTATGTTGTCTATTTGTCATCCCTCCCCCCCGCCACATAAACCGGCGAAATGGTTGGCAAAAATGTTAAATCCAGTTCGGAAAGAATTTCGTAAGTCTTCATTGGAAGATGCTTTTCAACTTGTTGACTGTCTTAGTAACATGAATATCAAAAACTATGTATTCTTTCGATATACATTCTTTATTCACTAACTTGTTGTTGTCCAAGACCACTAAAAGTTCCCCGTGACTACATACCTTTCAAAAACCTCCCATTTCCTATTACTCCAACTTTTCTGCGGGAACTATTGCTATATGCCAACAAACGCATACTGAGATTTGCGGAAGCGAAAGTCATACACAGATCAAAACCACCTTTGTATGTACAAAAACAATTGGTTCCTACACACTACACCTACCCAAGTAAACTTTGTTTTCTTACCAAGATTAGGATCAACTATTTCACTTCCTGTTTGTTCTCATGTTTCTTGATTTTAATCTTCTATTATCTTAATTGCTGTATTTGTCCTCTCACTCTCCGGTTTAACATAAATTGACTTGACAAGTAAATGTGTGATCAGATTGTTCAAAATGTATTACACAAATACGTCATGTTGTTCAGACAAACTTCATCTTCTAATTACACTATCTAAATAGCTTGTTTCATTTCACATTCATTGCGAAATCCATAGATAGTAAATATCAATTACCCAATGGCCAAATTTTTTCCAACTATGAAATCTTAACTTGGTTTGTTAAAATCGAATAATGCATGTCTTATTTTGTTGTTATATCAATATAATACTTCTATCCAGCTGTAGTTTGAGAATGATATCACTGGAAAAAGTGAAACATTTAACTAAATTTTCTTCTTTCTATTGGTGTGTATTTATTAGGCAGCATCTTTTAAATTCAGTAATTCTTCAATTGATTTCCGTTTGAAATTTTTATTATGCACAAATATAACTGATCCATAAAAAATAGCTTCGTGGATAACGCTGTGGCGTTTGAAGCGACGGCTATTGGTTTCGAGTCTCCATGGGAACTCCATCGCCCACTGTGGTGTATATACACTCAGCTGACGAGTCCGGAACAAGACGATGCTCACATTCTGACTTCCACTGCCAGCTAATCAGTATTCAGGCATTATCGAGGCATCCCCGTAGGAACCTATATCTCAAAAGAGGTCGAGCAATTCGATCTGGCATATTATTCTTAGTATTATTTGTTCCTTGGGTTCCTAGTGAAACATAGGGCTTCAGTAGCACGCCTCCATTGCACTCTGTTCTCTGAAGTCTTTCGAACCTCGCTCCACGACTGCCCACAAGCTTTCATTTCTTCCTCACATGATCTCCATGTCATCCTTATCTGGGACTCTCAACTCGTCGTTTCCCCTTTCGATCCCACTCGAGGGCCTGGCGCATGATGTCCCCAGTCGGCCTTCTCAGTGTATACCCAATCCATCTCCACTTTCTTCCACTGCATATTTGTTGGATGATAGGTTCTTGGTTGGTTGGTTCGTTGACAGGCCAGAGTCAGTTCCTTGTTGCTTATTCTTATTATTCTGGCCATCTGATCTTCAGTATCGAGTGGGCATATGTGGTAGCTGTTGATGAATGTCTGTAGTTTGTTGGAGGTGCTTTTCGTGACACGCCAAGTCTCTCAACCATATAAAAGCACTGACTTGACTGACGTTGGTGTTGAAAATCCGTGTCATGTTCACGCTTTGTGCTGAGTGGAGTAGATGTCCACACTGATTTCAGATTAATGAAAACTTATCTTGCTATCTTTTTGCTGTTGGCTTGGACATCTTCGTGTATGTTGCTGCCTGTGGTTGAAACGATGCTGCCTAGGTAGGTGAAAGAGACTACTTCCTTTAGGTTTCTCCTGTTCATAGTGATTGGAGCTTCTTGTTGTTGGTTGGATATCTAGCATAGCAACAGGATATTGCAATTATCAATAAATGGTCTTGTTTTTATTTTTTCTAGAGTATTATCAATACCGTTAAAGAATTTAAACTGGTTATTTGGCATTTTAGTCAGTCTTTTTATTACATGAAAACTGCCTATTAGTTTTCCATATTTTAACGATATTGTTAATCATTTCGGCTCTACACCATACTGGGTATTTTCGTTGTTTGAAACAATCGTAACAGTTAACCGAATTGATTTTCCCTTCACTTTAATAGATATTTGTGCATGGGTTTCAACAGTCTTTTGGCTCATGCCTCTGTAAATCATCTGCACTTTCATTTTTGGCAATCACCAGATTACTTGAGAGCTATGTCTACAGTAAGTTAGTGCTCTTTCCTGATATTTTTTATCGCATAACTTAAGTAGAGTAAATTAGAAGGTAGGGTTTATATATGCTAAATTATTATGTATGTGGTATGTTAATGTGTAATACTTTGTTATGAAGTGTAAGGTACAGAACATTATTATATGAGTCGTTCATAGTTCAGCAATACGCATTACCATTTTTCTTATTTTTACTTGATCCGTTCAAAACTCAATCAACTTTCTCCGGCTTAGATGAACTGTTACCTTCATTTGTTCATACACAAATGATATAATTCGGTAATCATTACATGAATTTGCATCACTCGAAGGTCTTGCCTTTAATAAGATATCCTTATAACACTTAATATACTAAACAGGTGAGCTTTAAACTAATAACCTGTTCTGTAAAGTTCACTTAACTGTCCAGATTGAATGACGTTATCAATTAGTTGGTGTGAAATAGGGATAGAAAGTCAATAGCTGTAACTTCTTGACAAAGTATCAATAGAACTTGGCTCATTTAGCAGTTACCTACCAATAAAAACGTCGATAAAACCTGAAGCTAGCAACGAATACTAATTATTGAATATAAGTTTACCGCCTATATGGATAAATCATTCTCACCACTGTTATAATGCACTGAACTTGCACAATCGACACAGAGTAAAGAAAAAAGGTAGTGAACAAAAAGAATAACCTGAAAGTTGGAAATCTATCCCGCCTATCCACAGATCAGAGTTATCAAAACATTGGATGATTGTTACACTCGATCAGAAATAAGTTTTTTAGCATTGTTCTCGAAAATATTCTATTCATAAAGCTGATGTGTTCTTATGAAAGGAATCCGACCAAGTGAATTAAGTTGACTGGAATGCTGTTCAATGAGCCAATAAACTTAAAAATTATTTGCAAATTGCACGGTCTCCGTTGTCTGTTCAACCGTGATCTGATCAATTGATCTGACTAGCGAAATCTGCAGATCAACTTGAATTATTTTTCTGACTACTTATGCTCTCAAGCCGTATACACATCATTTGTTCACGAAAATATTAGAGGTCACTTCATATATTCTTGGTAGTTTTCAACAGAAATCCTGGGTTTATAAAAGAAATTACTCTGACGTAAAGATATCAAAATAAACTGCAATTTGTCAGTAGTTCGCAAATTGATCATTCGTACTTTTGGTATGACCCTCTGGATCTCTTCTACAATCTGGTTAGTGATTTCTCACACATATCTGCCAACACTGTTTCTTTCTGCCTCTGTTACAGTTTACTGTATATATTTTCAAAAATTTAAGAATTTCTGCTTCCTGCTACACAGAAAAATATCTTTTCACCAACTATTGAGAGTTTGGCAGTATAGTTTAATCAGTACCTACCCCTTAATTTTTTAGGAAAGAATGTTTATAGAACTTATGGTCTTGAGAATATGTTCATTATTCAGCATGAATTTCAGGCCTTTGAGTTGTCATATGATGTCTATAGTGTCTAATCATTCTTCAAATCTTACCGTTTCACTACTTATAAGGGTATCATCGTATGTGGTGATATTCAAGAAATATTCTATAACTTGCATTTCATTTCAGTTTAGCTACTGATGAACACATCTGTGGTTATCCATCGGATTGGAAGGGAGCATGTTTTATCATATCTTCAATAACTGTATTCACATGATTGCTTACAAAATAGCTTGCATCCCGTACCTTCTTGAACATTAGTTTCAGATAACTAACTTTCGTACGTAGGATTATGTCATGCGACAGATGGATACTTCGAACTAGGACCTGGCATAACTGCGTTACTCACTGAATTTACATTGTTAGTAACCACCAATATGCAAAAACCAGGCATTACGGTTCAAGTTACCACACTTTACATCAAGAGACGAAACAGATAAAGTGGAAGAAATAGAAATAATGTGGGCAAAAGTCGTAAAATGTCAACAGATTGCATTTGGATAGTAAAAAATGCATCCCAATAATTCTCAAATTGTCAGTTAGCGACTGGATTTTTAACAGTATCTTCAGCCAACATCACTTTATTATCTGCAAACTCTCAATGTACTAAATATCTTACTACAAAACTCATTCCTGTCAAATTAGACTAGGAAAGAGGACCTATTTCAGTATGCCTACGATTCAGTTGAATAAAACTGGAAATAGTGTACGTCTTTGGCTGACGTAGACAATTAACCTGACAGCTCATCATAGGATTTAACATGCCCACTGGAGTTTGAATACAGAGCACTCAATATTCCTTTCAATGACGGATAGTGTTATAAGAACTCTTGATACAAGTTGCATTTCTCATCGGTGTCGTAAGGGGTGTAAGGCGATGGAAACCAGTCTAGCCTTTTGTATCCATTCCGAGACTTTCTACATCACCGTCCTATCATAGTTGATCTGAAATGCTCAGCAAAACGGGTGTTAAATATATGAGATAAATCGTCATATGCTCATGCTTTTCATAAATTCGTACCAAGTTAATTATGCAATAAACTCACCACCTTGAACGCTTTGATTGAAGACACTTGTCTCCTTATAGTATATGCATTTAACATTCCTTTTTGTCATTCGAATTGTGTGTATTTTATTTCACTTCGGATAGATTCATTTATTTTGATGTAGTAAATGAAAAATTACTTATTGACTTATTCGTAGGAAATTAAACCGAAATATGAGAACTCAATGTTTTTCGAACTAGTTGATCATCCTGTAGATAATTTTGTCCTCGAATTAACGGATTTAACAGTGTTGGATCAGTTTATGGAGTAAGTTTATCTCTCTGCTTTTGTATTGATCACTCCACTCTTTTTAACAGATCATTAGTTAGTTTAGTAGACGAGTATAAAGATATATCAAAAAATGTTCGACAGAATTCGGTCACAGCTTAAGCTTAGACAACATAAACCTGGTTGTTCGCCAATGACCAATCAGTGTATCCATTCAAGTCTTACAGGAGGTCAGTTTTGTTCTGAATAGCTCAATGGTAACATCACTGACTGGAACATTGGGTGATGCAGTTTCGAATCTCAAAAGGGCTGTCAGCAGTTCCCTCGAGGTTTCAAATATGCCTTACTGATAAATATCAATAAGTAAGAAACTTAGGTCCAAGGCTTCCTACCTACCACTTCCAACAAACTAACATATATCATACTCCTAAAGCAGTGATCCAGTTCTCTTATAATTCCATCTACTGTAACAGCGATTTGCTGTTACAATGTAATTTATTAAACAAAACTGTATTCATTTTGCCGATTGGTATAAATTACGCTTTAACTGTCTCATATCTTAATTGTTACCTTCGCAATTACATAGTTGTAAGTAGGATGCTCAAAAGTTGAAGTATGTTTATCATAATATTAAACTGAATTTAATTTTTTTCATTTTCCTAACTCTCAGTCAACACTTTTTGAACTAAGTTAAACGACATAACATTCTTAATTTATACGAATTATTGCTTGTGTTAGTTTGTAGAAAAGAAAATGTTTTTCTCTAAACCATTTTTTTTTCACTAGCATACTCATTGAAATATTCAGTGCTACATTTCGACTAAAAATTATATCGCCTTTATCAAAATTGTGTTCGAATACGAATTTACAAAAGTTATTTTTCTACGCCCTTGTTATTACTATTTTGTGATGTAAAAATGATTTTCGAAACTCATGAGCAATGACCCTAACCATATTCCACTTTTTGCGTATGTTTATGAAAGATTAAAGGCAGAAAGACTGCCATTGATTTGAAACAGCTAAAACCGAATGTTTAAGATGTTTGACAGATATCTAACACAACAGTGCCTAATATCAGTCAGTCCAATATCAGCATGGGACCTGCCATTACTACGTAACGGTTCAAGTTGGCAAACCTCGTATCAGAATTTCAAGATCGATGGCAAAAAGATGAAAGATAAAGAAGATAGCACTTAAAAGTCATAAACAAAGAGGCACAGGAAGAAGTAAATGGGTAACCGAATGTGATATGATGATTAAGGTGTAGACAATGTGTGAATACATCTGTACTGTTGATATAGATTTTGGGTCATCTAACTTATATTCTTTAACTATTGCTTTTGATTCTCACACCCAATACATTTTTTTACTATCGAAGGATAGTGATTAGCAACGAAATCCGGTACATGGGTTCTGTTTATAAGGACTTATCAGCTGAGTCTACCTGTCTCCCAGTAAGTGATTGTGTTACCACAGAGACTCGAGCCCAGAACCCACTACTGCAAAAGTTGGAGCTACCGAATCATGAAACCCGCTTCCTGTTCGATGAGTACACTTTGGTGCCAAAACTTGTAATTTCCCGGCGTTTGAAGTAGTCGGTTTTGGGTTTAAGTTTTATTGGAACAGCACCACTTATTGATATGCGTGCATATCTAGCTTATGAGTCCTAAATAAGACGAAATGCACATCCTGAATTCCACTATCCATCTCTGTCACCATAGCTAGAGTTATATGTAGAGTTGCGGCATCCACACAGGAGCTCATATACTGATATTAGTCAATCAATTCGGTCCACTTAATGAGCTAGAATATATTATTTTAGGTTTGTAATTGGTTGACATTTAATTTTTCATTTGTGGGGATTTATTTCTGGTTGGTATTCATCATGGAACGACATCAGTTGGAGAAACGTTCGAAACCTGGGAGCACCGGACAGGTGTTTCGTCCTAATAGGGGACTCCTCAGCACCACGCACCCAGGGCCTTCAGGTTCCGTGGCCACCACATTATCATTGAGCCACTGGGTCGTAATCCAGTGACCCATGTTTCCTACTTCTGTCATAATATAGCTCAACCTCCATCCAATGCCGTCGCCGAGTAACTGTCCTGATGTTCGACATGGTTGGTCCCACCAGTCACGACTTCTCATTGGAATTTTGGGAATAACCTCTCGAAGCCAGTCATCAATGAGCACTAGATTATTCAGTTTTTGAAGTTTGTGGGGATTTATTTATGGATTTCGGGTTGGCGCTCATCTTAATTTTTCCGCTACTAAACGGGACATTGAACACTCTCCAGTGATCAAACAATCTATATTATTCACTTCTACAGGAGGTCGACTGCGGTTCAGTTGCAAGGTCTTTGACTGTAGGTCTGAGTGATATGTGTTTGCAACAGCTTTCTCAGGGTTGTAGATTCACCTTACTGATGATCACTGTTACGTATACAATTTAGGTCCAGGGTTTTCTACCGATTTCCCTTAACCACCTAACACAAATCAAAGTGTATCTCTATGCTACGTCTACCATATTGCGAAATGGTTGATAAAATTTGGTCAGTGCATAGGACTCTAGTCAATTTGAAATTGGTTACTCTCCAGTGACCAATCAGTATTTGGTTTATCCACATTTGAAATAGTGATGTACTTATTCATGACATGACGAAATATCTTTCTTGTTTCTTTGCTGACTTGCCAGAATTTGTAAATAGTTTTGTCATATAACTGTTATTGATTGTTTCATCTCAAAAACCCCAATGACAGCGAAAAGCCAGTAAGTGTGTCGTGGTGTTATTAAGAGATATTGTTCCGACCGATTAAAGAACAATCGAATTATTTATGAGTTACTTTTATGCTCTTATAAGTTCCTTAGTCTTAAAATTAACAGCCACATTATTGAGTATAATGAGTATAGTTTTCTATTTGATTTAAAGTGCTCCATTGGTTGGATTAAACGTTAATGAGTAGAATGACAGCTTACTGTTTAAGTAACCTGTATCTTAGAATGTTATTTGATATTCATCATTTCAACTAATCACTTTAACTCATAGTGTTTTGTATGCTAATGTAACTGATATTACCACACCTCATAGCTGAAAATTTGCTTACTGAGGGAAGCTGTAACATAAATCTTAAGTAGTTTACGCCTGCATGTTGATTTCTTATGCCAAACTGACCTGTTTAAAACTGGCAGTATGGTTCGAAAATTTCTTTTTCTCCATTTGTGATCAGTGTTTTATTTGAGTAACTGCATATGTATTTCGTCCAATCCATTTTTTTTTATTAAGATCAGTGAGACAGGATATGGTCGAATGAGATTAGCATAATTTTTCGAATAATATCGAAGTATGCAATTAGTCCTTTGTACTTTAAAAAGGTCAAGTAACAATATCGATTACTGGGTTGGACATGTGAACAGATTTCGGTTAAAAAATTCTATAGAGGCAGATACACAAATCAACATTGAATTTTTACATCAGCTCAACTAACCTGTACCTCAAAACACTATATATAGAGGAATTATATTCAAGTAGATAAAAGTATGAAAGGAGAGAAAGTAAATCAATTAATTTCGATAAAATACTCAAGATTTTGAATGTAGTAAACAAGAAATACGTCTTCAATATTGTGGTCCATATTCTGGCATCTTTCCGAGTCCCAAACGACTAAGTTCTTACTTCATGAGGACTTCATCCTAGAGGTCTGCAGTACACAAATCAGTAGTCAGATACTTCATAAACTGGTATCACATTTTAGTCTTACCACTCTTAGCTCACTTCTAAATAAATTCTGCTACAGCTAATTTTGTGCATAGAGAAAGACAGGAGGTCGGTATGAACAACAAATATCCAAGCCAATTAAGTAAACATATTATTGATTATTATTATTATTATATAACATATCTATTAATTTGTCTTGCCCTCCTAATACCGTAAGTTTAACCTCAATACTACTCACTTTGTGGTACCACAACAGATGGGGAATGTTACACAGAGAACTACGGCTGCAAACTTATGACTTCCTTTAATCTTTAACCTTCAGTGAACTTGTCTCATAGACCCATATTTCCGCTCCGCGTATCCTCATCTTACTAGTTGTCAAATTTGCCACGCGCTAAAAGTTAATCTTATCATTCACCTATTTGCATTAGAAAATGTGTATTACGCTGGTTTTCATCTGTAATCGTGTGCAATACATGGTAAAAACATTTCAGTCGATGAATGAGTGCTCAAAACGCTGTCATGGCTAACCCAGCTTTCTCGACAACAAAACCCCGAGGCATGTTTTAGAAGAACCAGTGATTGCTATCTAGCATTGTCTATATTTATTAATTATGTGAAACTGTAGCTACGTAGTCTAGTCATTCGAAAACGTTTCCCATCCCTCAAATGTGAACTGTTGCTTCAGAACTGGGTTGCATTGATGCTTGGTCTAACTATTGAAAATGAAATAGTTGACCAAGCTAATCGCTTCACTTGTTTAGGAAATTGGATCAATCCGGGTGGGTCAGTTGCCGAAGAAATCTCGCCTTGTATACAGTTAGCTTAACTGACTTATACTGCTTTTGTTACGGATTACTTACTAGGAATCAAAATTTACTGTTCCGTTTTTCTCTCTGCCCTTCTCTATAATGGTGAAACATATTCATCAAAAGTGGAAGACATGAAAAAATCGTAAGCATTTAACCACCATTGCCTCCCTAATATTACCCGCGTGTCATGAAGCCACCACAAATACTTTAATGTTACTCCTTTTCTGTCCATCTGTTCTTTTTGTACTACTGTGAAATGTGGCAACTTGAACCGAGGTACTCCTATGCGAGGTTCTGCATTGGTTTTTTTCAGTCAGTCACATAAATAATGCGTAGATTATATAGAGAGTTTCATGCATAAGAGGTAAGTAAGTCAGTCTACGATGTTCTAAACCTTCATCGGATAAGGCAGCTTGGCTGTTTTGCACATTTTGAGCCACCTCTCACACTCAACATTAGCTGTAGTAGAGTTAGTTTGAGAGAAAAATAAAGAGGGTCATATCGAGAGGTGGTATCAGTCCGTAACTTTTTGACTGTTTCTTTGAACCCTGTAAGGAAATTCAGGCTTGTAGGTTTCAGTTCACAAGACAACTTACACCGATAGTTTGAAGCTTAATGTGATCGCAGGGGTTCAGGTGCATACACACTCTATCACCATCGAAATCAATATCGCGTTCCGTTATTTCTCCTATATCCTTTTCCTTTTACCTTATGGCTTTCTCTATGACTTTTGATCATATCATTTTCATACATTTATCTTGTTGTTTTGTACCTTCGTATGCTGATGTTAGGTATTGTAACTCGAACTGTTGCGTGGTAACCTCAGGTCCTGTTTTGATTTTGGCTGACCGAAGAATCACTATGTCACGCATTCGAATTCATCCTACCTACTTTAGGTTTAAAAACTAGTTATTGGCATAACGTTTTACAGAATATACAAGTCTTATTTGTATAAATCTCAGCTTTTTTGAAGTAAATAATCCCAATACTTTGCACGGAAGTTTGGTCCGAGTTCCTTCGGGGAAAATAATCAAAGTCTAGCTGAGATTCGTACAAATGTAACTTATGTCTAATGTCAAATTTCTACTTGGCGCTCAGTATTTGTTAAAATATTCGGTTAGATCTTGACTAGGATTTGTATAAATTGCTTTACAGAACAGCTTTGGATTATAGGCTAGTACACAAACGTGTTCAAGATCGGTAAATACTTGTCATCCTTTATCACTAAGATCTATGGGTTATGTTTGTTCAGCTGAAACGAATATAGTGTAGCACTTCGTAATCACATCGTATAAAGGCAACTTAGGGAAAACAAGTGCAACATTTTTTTGAATGTCTTTTGTGTTTTCTGTGTTTATATTTCAAGTTTCACATGAACCAACTCAAAAAATTATGCACTTACCAAGTGGAACTAAACATTCGATTGACCTACATAATCCAATCTCTAATTTGTTCGAATAACTGATCACCGAGTCGTTCATATTTAGCTGCTAATGCTGTACAGTAGTGTTAAAATCCTTAAAAGTACAGAAGAAATAAATTTAAAGTGATGTTTGATGAACAAAAATTATTTGGTGTAGTTGGTCATTTTTGTTTGTTTGTGTGATGAAGTCACGTGGAGTAAAACATTCTGTTCAGTAAATGGTCATACTTTTATGTTCTGCTATTTCGGATATTGTAATGTTGATAAATTGTCCCAAAATGTAAACTAGGACGTTAACGTGCTCGAAAATATGCGTGTATATATATATATATATATATATATATATATATATATATATATATATATATATTATTTTTGACGCTAAGTATTTCTTCATGAATAATATCATCAGTGAATTAAGAGCAGTGATATTCTCATGGAGTAGGATGTCTATTGAAGTGACTCTCAACACCATGTAGTGTCACAAAAGAACTCTGATTTATTGTTATTGAGACTATCTAGGGATGATTGTGAATTGGCAAACTGATTTTTGGATAATGGGTCGATGATTCGAGGTGAAACGAGAACCTAGGTCACAGTAAGACTACGATCAACGGCCTTCATGTCATCGTCTTGGTGCTGTGCCTCTACAACTAGGTTGAAGTGGGGAATCGATTATTGAATGCTTGTTAATTGAATTGACGCGTAATACATGCTTTAAGAACTTTTCACTATTCACTGCAAAAAATTTTTTGAAAATTTGTCATTAAAAATAGAAGTTGTGTAGTTACCTTGATATGATCTTGATTGTTTTGGTGTACTCGAGACAACATTCAGTAGATAACATCGTATATTTGATAAATTAATCTTATTTGGAGTGGTCCACTTTTCCACAAGATAGTTATTCATCGCCTTTCAAAGTTAATCATTTCTCATTCAGTAATTTAACAGGACGCTGGGGTGGATAATGAGTGACTGAGATGAAAAGTACTTTTGCTACTGTTTCTACTAACTTTCTATTGATATCTTTTTCATTCTCAAGTGTTTATTTTATTTCAGTCATCTGTGGATGTTGGTCATGTCGTGCCAGCAGCTAAGAATTGCTCACAACGTTTTCATAGCCCGTTCTAAATCTAGCGGATATATGCGTGTTGTAGTATGGCCACGCTGTTCAGCTTTTGGTGCGAAAAATGTTTCTGCTGTCGACTCAGAAGTAGGTTTTTACGTGGCTGTTGCTGAACTGGCTGGAATGTTGGTTGTTGCCAGTGAAGATATTGCCTCTACGTTGAACTACGACAAAGTAGAGTCGATCTTAAGTAATGAACGTTTGCCGGAAAACACTTTGCATATTTTGCAGTGTACACTGTTCGAAGCTCTCCGTACCACATAATTATAATGCGATTTGGAAATTCTCAACGTACTCTCAATATTGAATAAAACGAAAGTGTCACAAATATTGTCCAAACGTTTTAATGCAGTTTAACCTGTTACACCTTAAATTGTATTTAAAACTTGACAACTAAGCTTTATGTGTAGCCCACTTTTTCAGAAATCCAGATAAAACTATTTATTCTTCACCTCCCGAATTTCATCTTTCATAGAGCTGTTATGGGAAAGCTACTTGTCGCGTTAATTATTATTTATTATTATTTTTCCCTTGGGTTCCTAGTGAAACATAGGGCTTCAGTCTTTTGAACCTCGCTCCACGACTGCCAACAAGCTTTCATTTCTTCCTCACATGATCTCCATGTCATCCTTATCTGGGACTCCCAACTCGTCGTTTCCCCTTTCGATCCCACTCGAGGGCCTGGCGCATGATGTCCCCAGTCGGCCTTCTCAGTGTATACCCAATCCATCTCCACTTTCTTCCACTGCATATTTGTTGGATGATAGGTTCTTGGTTGGTTGGTTCGTTGACAGGCCAGAGTCAGTTCCTTGTTGCTTATTCTTATTATTCTGGCCATCTGATCTTCAGTATCGAGTGGGCATATGTGGTAGCTGTTGATGAATGTCTGTAGTTTGTTGGAGGTGCTTTTCGTGACACGCCAAGTCTCTCAACCATATAGAAGCACTGACTTGACTGACGTTGGTGTTGAAAATCCGTGTCATGTTCACGCTTTGTGCTGAGTGGAGTAGATGTCCACACTGATTTCAGATTAATGAAAACTTATCTTGCTATCTTTTTGCTGTTGGCTTGGACATCTTCGTGTATGTTGCTGCCTGTGGTTGAAACGATGCTGCCTAGGTAGGTGAAAGAGACTACTTCCTTTAGGTTTCTCCTGTTCATAGTGATTGGTGCTTGTTGTTGATGCTTTTGTTGGTTGGGTATCTTCATCACCTCCCTCTTCTCTACGTTGACTTGAAGTCCCGTCTTCGCTGCCTCTTCTGTCAACTTGTTAGTTTTCACCTGTAGACCTTCTAGTTTGTGCGACATTAGATAGACATAAATCATCATCGGCGAAATCCAAATATTCTAGACTCTTTTCATCGGTCCAGCCAGCGTATCCTTATCTTCTCGCTCCTCACGGTTTGCTGCATGATCCATTCCACCATAATCAGGAAGATCATGGGTGATAGCAGGCAGCCTTGTTTTACTCCTGTCTTCACTTAAAACTCATCACTGAGCTTTCCAGTGTGGATCACTTGGCAAATAGCGTCTTCATATAACTGTTGAATAAGGTTGATAAGGATTTGTGGCACTCCGTAGTGTTGAAACAACTGCCAAATTACTTTTCGGTCGACGCTGTTGAAGGCCTTTTCAAAGTCGATAAAGTTGAGATAGAGGGTTGACAACTATTCTTTAATCTGTTCAATAATGATGCATAGCATTGGAATTTGGTCCGCACATTATTTGTTCTTCCTGAAGCTAGCCTGTTCCGGTCGTAACTTTGAATCTGGAGCATCCTTTAGTCTCCCCAGGATGATGTGGCTTAATATTTTACTTTCTCCGAGTGGACAGGCGCATAATTCCATGCCAGTTCTTGCAAAATCTTAGGTCACCCTTTGGGAGTTTAACAAGGTAGCCCTTCTTCCTATATGCAGGTACCTTTCCTCCCTTCCAAACCTTCTTCAGTAGTGGTGTGAGCATGTCTCAGCGTCTGTTTTCAGTGCTTCTGGCGGAATTCTATTTAGTCCTGCGGCCTTGCTGGATTTCAGCATTTTTATGACATTCAGGACTTCTGCTTTTGTCGGAGGACCTGTGTTCACTGGTAGTTCTGCCTTTGCTGGTGGTATTTCTGGACGAGTTGCAGGTGGTGGTGTTGGTGGTCGATTGAAGAGCTTTTTGAAGTGGTCAGCCCACTGTTTCGTTTGTTCCTCCTATTTGGTAACTAAGTTTCCGTCGCTATCTTTCATTGGTTTCATCTGCGTTGATCTCTTCCTCCCAGATAGTAACCTGGTTATTTGATATAGTGTTGTCAGGTCTCTGTCTCTCCTACCAGCAGCTTGTTTTGCTTCACTTGCCATTGTGTCATAGGAGTGTCTTTTGTCTTTGCGTGCACTCTTCTTCACTTCTTTGTCCAGTGTTTTGTACGTTGTACTCAGTTCGTCTTCTCGTTGTGCATCCTTGCACTGGTTCATCTTCTGCTGCACTATCTTCCTCTCGTTCATCACCTTCCATGTGTCCGTTGAGATCCATTCCTTGTCTTCTTTCTTCTTCCTTCCTGACACACTGTTATGCATGTTTCTTTCCACATATCTTCCACAGAACTCCAGCGTTCTTCCACTGAGGTTTCTTCACGGACGTCGCTTAATGTCTCTCATTTTGTCCTGATGACTGGCTGATGTGAAGATGTCCTCTGTAGTTTAACCTTTCAGCTTCTGTTCTGGATGGTGAACTTGAACTGTGGTCTATCACCAACCTCTTTGAAGGTTTTCAAATTGATTTGGAAGGTTCCTCGCACCAGACAGTGAGTGGTGTGAGCCTACATCTGCTCCCCTTCTTCATCTTGTGTCCAGTAGGCTGCGTCTCCATCTCCACTTTCTTCACATTGAGATGAAGTCGATCTTATTTTTGGCATAGTGTGTCCTGGTGTCTGGAGAAATCCATGTCGCTTTGTGAATATCCTTGTGTTTGTACACACTGCCTCCAATCAACAAATCGTTGGATGCGCAAAAGTCTGCAAACAGTTCTCCATTCTCACTCCCCATTTCACCGAGTGCTTCTCGACGCACGAGGAGTTCTCTCCCCATGTTGTCCACTCCGAGTTTGGCATTCAGGTCGCCTATTAGAATGAATTTTGATGTCGCCACCTTGGGTGGGGCCTTGTTCATTACTGATTGCAGTTGTCTGTAAAATTCCTCCTTCTTGTCTCCATCTGCATTATTCGTAGGTGCGTAGCATTGAATGATTGTGACTTTCCTTCATTTTGAGTTGAATCTTGCTGTCATGATCCTGATAGTGGGAGAGATCAGTTCCCACTGCATGGAAGCCTTCGATGGACTTGGATTTCTTATGATAGCCACTCCAAAACTCAGTGTGCTGTGCTCGTGGTTGTCGTCTGTGCGGCAATGTTGGAGTAGACCATTGATTCTGCAGTTGACAGTTTGGAGAGTCCACTTCCATTCCATCTGCTTTCGCAGATCCCAAACACTTCCATGCCATATCTTCTCATCTCTTTTGCAATCTGGGCAGCCTTGGTAAGTTCATACATGGTGTGGACATTCCATGTCCCCATCCTTACTTTTGCTTTCATCGAGAGAAGACACATCGGCCGACTGGCTTCCCTGTGGTAAGCTTTCAGCAACCGGTGTCATTTCGTCTCTCCGATTCCAGTGAGGAATAAGTTTGCTTTTGTGTTCTATATTTTCTCCGTTCTTTGAAGTTTCTTTAGCGATTGGATTGGTTTTCTGGGTTAGGGTTGCTAGCCCTATGTCCAACCTTCCCTGTTTATCCGGGATTAGGACCGGCTAGTAACTATTGAACTAGTTAACCAGGCGAGGTTAATAATTCATGTTTACTGATGCCTTATTTCACACAATATGAGCATGGTATGTAGTTTTAACTCAGTCATTTGTGGTCCGATTTACTCTGAGAGAAGTTCGAGCCTTTTCCATATCCATCCATGTTATGAAATATCTATCTGTCAGTTATACGTTTTTCCTTGAAATCCGTCCTATTCCTTGCTCGAGCGAACAAAACGTACTAAGCCACCTTGTCGACATACGTACGGCAGGCAAAGAGCAACGTCTATTGTATAAAGGCTAGGTTTCCCTATCTGGCTGCCGAAACCGGTGTAGGTGGGGCAGCGCTCAAACCCTTAACCCAGTGGTTGATAGTCATCTCCCTAAACCACTAAGCCACAGCTCCTAATTAGTAAGGACGTGAACAGCTCAGAGTGCATGCATATAGCATCCAACTCTGTTCAAACCTATTAAAAGCTCATCTTTTTGCAAACCAATGCACTTGTCACCCATTAAGCTTGTGAGAAAAACCTTTTTTAGGATGACTTAAAAGTGTACACTTACAATATAGAACATGTAGCTAGTAGAAAATAGACAGACCACCAAAAGCCAAAGTAAAATCACAAGTGCATCAACTAAAGTTGCCACACTTCTCGGTAACATGCAAACAACAGATGGATAGAAAAGGAGTGATATCAAAGTAAATAATATAGTGTAAGAGAATAAACAAGCTGAAGATAAAGGTTAGTGCGAATATTCAAGCTTTAGAAGATGTCAAGGAGTGAATACATCTGCGTCATTGTGACCGATTTCCAGCCATGTCATCAAGAGTCTTTAGCCACTGACTCCTTTCGTCTCAGGGACTTCATTCAGACAGTCATTAACTACCAACACAGCTCAGACCAATAATAAGAGGTTTTATCGACTGGTGCTAGGTCTCGGTCTGACTACCCTAAACCCTCTTCCAACCTAATCCAACTTTTCTTATTAGCAAGGAACATGGAGGTAGGCGGTGGCTCGGCATGGGCATTATATGTCCAAGCCATCTCAGTCGAAGGAGGTTCACAAGCTCATCAATCGACTCGCTTGTCTTCCGTAGTTACCCTTCGCCTAACTTCGACATTACTCACATAGTGATTCCGTTACACACCAGTAGTGCTGAGAACACATCTGTGGTCAAAACCCTGTAATCACTTTATCTTCTACTTTTAATGGTTATATCTCACAGCCGTGTAATACGAAAGAACGGACTGCAGCGCAGTTTACTCGTCCTTTGATAGATAGTCGAATATCTCGCCAGCTGGCACGATATGATGCGATTTGGCAACTGTCAAACGAGCTTTATTTACCCTAGCTGAGATTTCGTCAGCAACCACCCCGTTCGGCGGGCTAATGCAACTCCCAAGTAAGTAAAGTGGTCAACATATTGCACTATTTTTCTCCCTAACCTTTAACTGGGGGTAGTTGCAGAGCATCGTCTGATACTTGACAACTGCGAAACACATGCCAAACATACTCAGATTTTTTATCAAGGCGTTCGAAATGCCCTGCATTTTGTCAGAGTCTTCATTCAGCAGAACAACATCGTCTGCAGATTCCAAGTCAGCCAGATGACCTCCAGAGAGTAGTTCAATCCGTGTGAAGTCAAACGTAACCTCAGGTTATATCCAT